TTTTGTGAATGGGAAAGCTTTTACCCAATGTTTCAGTCTTGCGTCATTTATTTCTGTAGTTGGTTTTATTTTGTCAAGGAACATGTTTTTCAATACTAACATTTCATTTGGTACTGTCCATTTGAGTTTTCTTAAATATTCATCCCTTCTCAGTTCATTGTCTGCAAAGTAAGTTTTTATGACATTTTGTAAACTTTCGTTTGCAAGGTCATGTACAATAGGTTCTCTTCCTTCTATCTCCCTAACTTTCTTTCTAAACTCTTCACCAAATATACCATCTCTATGGTTCTGTGTAGTTCTTTGAGATAAATGTTCTAGAACGTCAGGTGTTATATTTCCATCAGCCATGTTCATTTCATACTGGTCCAAAATATCTGCATGTTTCATATCTTTCAATGGCATTAAAGCCGCGCTGAAAATACCAGCTATATCTGGTTCACCATTCACTTCCATTGCGTCTACAACTTCTTGGAATTGTGGTTGTAAGTTTATGAACCACCTATCCGGATTAGCTTTATGACCCCATCTCATTGTAGTTCCATAGTCTGCAGAAACAAAAGTAGGTTTGTTTCCATATTGGTTAGGTTCTGAATGAACTTTAAACAATGTTTCATTTCTATATGTTTTGGTGAAATTTAACCTTTTATTTTCACCGAGTTCAGCCAAAGATTGAACGTTATATGGTCGTAAGTAAAAAGGATTGTTGTATTTGCGTACACTTCTTTCAGTTCTTCCATTCTATGCTGAATATTTTCATCTGATGTTGGAGTCTTTTGTATGTCGGCGAACATTTTTCGATATTCTTCTACTATGTCAGCTGAATTTTTCTTAGACTCTTGGAAAGATTCCATATTCTCCGCATACTCTTGTTGAGGGTCAAGATTTTTCGGCTGTTCCAAATCTTCATCTAGTTCTGTGAAGTTAGTTTCCAAAGGAGGGATTTGTTTTCGTTTCCTTCAGGCTCTTCTAGCTGTTGTTGCTGAACTATTTCTTCCATGTCTGGTTGTATCTGAACTTCTTCCTGTGGAGTTTCTTGTACCTCATCTGCTGGCATTTCATATATTCCGAGACCGTTTTTAACAAGTTCCCTATTTAAGCCATCCGCATTCATAACCCTTTCTTCTTTCGTTCCGTCTCTATTTTTTACGCGTTTCATGAAGATAGTTGAATTATCATTTATCTCTGACCAAATATCTCGGAGTAAATTCATCCATGTCATTTGGATGATATGCTATTAAATCATATCCCTTAGCGAGCTTGTATTTTCCAGGTTTGAAATTATATCCCATTTGGTGCTGAACCATAAAGCTAAATAGGTTCGGGTCAGTATTTCCTTCCTTGAACTTTCTAATAGCTTCTTTATATCTGTCACTAAAGTCAAGAGTATCTGGGTAACCATAATTTTCCTTAAGCATTTTTAAGAATTCTTGGTTTCCTTGTTCTCTACTTCTTTTATGTCCTTGCTCTGTTTGTGGTTGTGGTGCTGGATTTTGAACTGTTGGTTGTGGTGCTGGATTTTGAACTGTTGGTTGTGGTGCAGTGTTTTGAACTGTTGGTTGTGGTGCAGTGTTTTGAACTGTTGGTTGTTGTGTTGGTTGTTGTGTTGGTTTTGGTGCATGCCTGTGTCTGTGTCCATGTGACGATGTAAATGTTTTAGGTAGTCCTGGTGCAGGTGCTTCTCTTGGAGGGTTTGGTGGTATATAAGTTCCACCAGCTGGCACATATGTTCCATCTGCAGCATAATGTCCTACCTGACTTTTCGTTTTTAAGAAAGCATTTACTAGGTCTGTTTTAGTCTGTTGTAACTCTTTTTCTTGACTTTCCACAACAGTTGCTCTAACGGCGTCATAGGCACTTTGAACTGCCTGTCTCGTTGCTGCATCTGTTATTTTCGTCATATTTTGTGCTACTTCTCTTAACTCTTTGTCGAAACCTTCAGACTTCAGTTTCTTTCCAGATGAGAAGTCGTTCACTAGTTTCACCTTACTATGAAGAGCTTCGAAGGCGTTCTTAAAGTCAGCATTCATTAAAGCTTCATTTGAACTGTCTTCATCCGCTTGTATTTTTGTCCTTATTGACCCTATAAGTTGGGCTGCTTTGGCGTTGGCTTGGGCATCTAACCAGTCATTATTAGCTTTTATATATTCTGCGCTTTTCATTGCCTTTTGCATGGCTGCGTCGTTATTTTTACTTTCTTGTGCTAAGTTTTCATACTGTACGGTTTGGTTTTGCAACTGTAAAAGTTTTTCTGCCTTTATATTTGCTTCAACTTCTTTTTTATACTCATCGCTATCCATATATGTCTTCAGGGCTTTTTGTTTTATCTCTTCATCTTTCAGTACTTTATATTGAGTAGTATGGTTTTTCAAATTTATAACATCTTGTTCCATTTTTGCTACTTCTGCTGCTTTTTCTGACACTTTTTTCGCATATTCCTCTGTACTTAGTTCTTTCAGTTGTTCTTCTTTCTTCTTTTTCTCTACGTTTAACTCATTGAGTTTCTTTGTGTGTCTGTCATATTCTAGTTTCTTTTCGTTTTCACTTATTTGTTTCTGTATGTCTATGTTTGACTTTTTGACATCTGTTATTTGATTTTTGAGTGAACTCAAATTCATTTGACTTTGAGGGTTATAAGCTGTTCCGTCTGCAGCTCCACCATAGCCTGCCATTTTCGCTAAAAGTGCCGCTCTTAAACCTCCACTCTGTGCACCAATAACTCGGTTTAAAAGCATAGGGTTGCTTGACATTTGTTGCAACATAGTGGGGTCATTCATCATTTGTTGTTGCAACTGTTGTTGTGGTGTCAGTTTTACTATTGGATGTTTCAATGCTCCCTTCCTCTTACGTATATTCTTACGTAGCTTACGTGGCATTTTAAGTGAAGTAAAAAACAGTTTTTGACAGATGTTTATATGACACTTTTTGTTCAGCACAAAAAACTACTCGGTCAAAGTGTTGTCAGTTTTGTAAAATAACCGTCCTATCTCATTATATAAGGGGGAAAGGCTTCTCAAAGTATACTTCCTTGGAACGCCCGTAACTTTTCCTGTAGCGACGATAGACCCTTACTTGTCCGGACAAAGTTATACTAAACATCTTCGGGGCTAGAGGGCACGAAGTGCCTGGAAGCCCCACTACCTTTTTTTTTTAAAATAGCATTAGTATATAATAAATAGATATATTATTCATATTTTTGATTTTGAATTACGAAAAAAGTGAGTTCAGAACTTCCAATTATTATTTGATTAATTATGTTAAAAATACTATAAGGAATTAAAATACATAATGTTGAAATTTGAATTACGGAAAAAGTGGGGGTGAAAGTGAAGTGAAAAAGTAAGATATTTTTTGTTGAAATAATCATAGTTGTACAATTTTGAAACTATATGTAAAGCTATAAATTGAATAAATTCAAAAACAAAAATTGTTTATTCTTATTAATAAATTTATATTAATCAATATTTGAACAACCCGTAATTAAAATTGAATTCCTCTTAAAATTTAATCCATACGTTAATTTTTAATTTGCTCGGCGAATGCCGAGCTTCCCTACTTCTCTTGTCATTCCTTCAAAAACTCTAATCTCATCGCACTTACAAACATCATGATTTGATGTATTGTCGAGAAATCTTAGACTTGTTTGTCATTTGATGATAGCATTTGAAAGTCATCTCGAAAATCGATTAACAAGACAATTTCCCAAACATCTACATACAAGTAGATGATGGTAAACCCATTAGAGTTGTTTTGCTATGATTCCTCCAATCTTATGATGAGAAAAAGCATATCAAAACAGCTCTAATCGAACATTCTACACAGCTTAGCATCCAGCTAGTTCCAAGTAATGCGATTACAAAATCAACGGCCAAAGCCTTTCAGAGTCCTTTAATCATTTCTTCTCATCTCAATGTGAAGTGGCCCCAAACGAACTACAAGCTGACGTTACAACGCATTACAACCCGGTTAATACGAGCATATACATTAGAGCTGCTTTGTTATGATCTCCCTCATCAATTGATGAGAGATCTCATTATGAAGCAGCTCCAATCGAACTAAAAACCTACATACAAATGAGTGAAAACAAACTCATTAGAGTTGTGTTGCTTTGATTTCTCTCATCAGAAGATGAGAGATACCAGAACAAAACAACTCTAATCAAACTTTCTACACAACTCAGCACAGTATCAATGCAAAGTAATGCGTCTGTATCGTTAACAAGCAAAGTTGTTTCGGGTCCTTCCATTTTGGAAGAATTCGGAACAACTTTGCGAATTGATAGTGTAAACCCATATACATGAAAGCGTGCATGCATAAAGACAGGTATTGTCAGCAATGACTACCTGCCCAGCTATGAGTGATCAGAGAATTACCATCTCAGGCTTTTTGAGAACGTTTCAGCCAGGACCCTCGTATGTTGACTGTGAGAAAGGCATCCTTTATCTGAAATAGATGCTTTTCCAACAATCAAATTCGAAGATCTTCGACGTTGTTGTAAAAAGAGAAGGAGAAGGAAAGAAGAGGAAGAAGGAAAGGAAAAGAAGAAGAAGAAAAAAGAAAAAAAAAGAAGGACATATTAAATATAATGCGCACTTAATAGTGCCGAGGCGGTGGAGCCGCCGAGGCGCGATTTTTTTGACCCTATATTACCGCACGGCAATGTTTTTCTCGATTTTGTACAGCCCTATATTTCATATGTCATTATATTCGGTTTTGATTTATTTTATATCCATACAAAAACGTTCCATCGGAAATTTTGTTTTTAGAAATAATATCAGTTGCATCAAAGCAATTAACAATTTAAAGAAAATTGCAAAATAACAATTGAACGCGAGTCATTGTATAGCGACGTTAGAATTTAATTTTTAAATGGATTGAGACCAATTCAATTAAGTAGTGTTTCATTTTCAAAATCAAGTCTATTTGACATAGTGGAAATGTATATATATAATGATACTAAATTTCCATCTGTCAAATTTTGGTGATAAATTTCACTTCATAAAATGAACGTCAAGAGCCACAATACTAAATCAAAATTTACAGTTGAAGAAGATCTGAAGCTTTCCAAACTTGTCTCAAAATATGGGAGCCTAGATTGGGAAACAATTGCTTCTAATATGACAAATCGATCAGCAAGACAATGCCGCGATAGATGGACTTACTACTTGAATCCAAAAATTAAGAACCAACCATGGACTGAGACAGAAGACAAGATTCTGCTCATTAAATACTTCTTAATAGGACCCAAATGGAGTGTTCTTTGTCAATATTTTGAAAATAGAACAGACATCGATATTAAAAATAGATATTTATCCATTCAAAGGAGATCCAAAAAATTTTTGTCAAAAATTGTCGATTATCCAAAAGGGCAGAAAAATACATCAGACGAAGATACTCTATTCGAACAGATATTTAGTGACTCAGTTGATATAGAAGAGCTTCTCAAGTTTTGAAGAATTATTGAGTCGTAAATCCAAAAAGATATTTACAATCCCATTATAATTTGCCAAAATCTCGTATATTAAATAACATTAACATACCCATCAAATTTATGTTAAATATATTATATTTTTTTTAATTCATATTTTTTTCAATGTAGAAACTGTTTTTTTAAATTAAAAACAACTAGATTTTGTTACAGATCTTAAACATGCCGATAATTTTGATTTCTTTTCTTATTATTTGGTCTCGTATTTTATACTTATGCAATGATTTCCATAGTTAATTATTATATGTCTGTTTATCCATACAACAAATATTATCTCTTTTTTTAAAAGGCATAATTTTATTTTACGGTTGAAATTCCATAAAAAAGTTGATTAATTCAAAACAAAATATATAATAAACATTTAATATTCAGGGTGGCGCAAAAAGAAATCAATTGAAGTCTGTACTTTGGCAGGGACGACTATTTCTTGATGTTGCTCTAAGGGCATCATCGTGTATCGTGCTGAACCGTTGGGAAAAATTGAATACCCGAGGTTCAGCATACATATAAAAATGAAAGACTTAGAGCCTAGGGTTAAGCAGGAAGATAGAGGGTACATATGAGATTATCCTCAGTAACTCTCAGGCAAATCTGAGTTTTTGGTCAGATATATAAGATTATTGTGAACGAAAAATTATCTAATATAGACCTAATTGTCATGTGCGCATATATACATATGTATATATTATATGTTTCTTGTGTTATTATAGGTTAAATCCATAGTTTGATATGTGAGATAAATTATATCTTAACACAGAAATCGTTTTTTTATATTATCACAGTAGATATGAGGGATACTATATGAGTTATAATATATATTATTAGGAATAAGTATATAGGTCCAAAATAATGGGAATGCATAATTTATGGCGAACTCAAAACATTTATTTTTATATTATGAGGTTATAAAATTGTTTTATTCATATATTATATGTGCTCTGTGCTATTGAAATGTGCTTAAAATGATTCTGCACGCGCAATCACAAAGCAAAACTTCGTAGCGAGCAACAGTTTGTGCAAGGACAGGGAATTTATATTTTTATCCTTACATAAACTTATAATGTGGTTAAAATGTTCGGTTCGCTCTCACTTTTGTTCCGCAATGTGAACATTATTTTATTAATAGTCATACTCGAAAACATTTACTTGTTTTTGGAACATTACAATACATTTCTTTATAAATCACATTTTCATATATAATTCAACATTTACATGTTGATTTGTAAACATATTTTCAAATAAACCTTTAATATTTTTATTTTCAAACTGATTATTCACAAATTTCATTTCACATTGATATGCTTTTATAAAATTCTTATGATTTATTGATCATATTTTCTTTTATATCTCCTTTAAATTGTATCCTTCTCGACAAATATTGCCTTGAATTTGAATTATTGCAAAAAAACTATAAAAAATTCATGAACAATCAAACACCAATGGTATTTATAAATTTCAAAACCGAATGAAACTAGTTGACATAAATCGATGAACGAATTCTTAATACTGATTTTATATCCTCGGCGTTTACGATTTTCTTTTTTGTAACTCAGGATATCTTGCAACATAAAAGCAAGTAGGGGAATAAAGGACATATTTGCTTAAAATTGACATTCTTCCATACCGAAAAATTCTAGTTTACGTTCATTCAATTTTTTTTTGAAAAATACATTATTCAAATACATAAGAAGAATATTAACTAACATGTTTTTACAATTCAATTAAAATTGTTAAAAAATGTTCTTACCTTGATGAAATTGTTCAATATTTTTTAAACCATCATCTTTGAATTAAATTCATTGTCATTTTTACAATAAATTGAATACAATTGAAAAATCAAAAATTCTTACACTGTGTAATGGAAATTGAAAAAATAAGCGATAACGAATATCACATATCAGGCAGTGTATTGTATAGTGTATTTTCAGGTAATTCTTCTCTTCAGGTTGTTCAACTATTAGGCTCTTTTTCAAGATTTCCTTCGTATTGCTTTGCGAAATGCCAAAATCTTAGAGAAATACAATTCAATCCAGAAATCACATCTATTGGAGACTATTCATTCTATCTATGCGATAATCTTGCCACAATCAATTTCCCAATTGATTTAAAAACCATCGGAAATCATGCATTTGAACAATGCACAAATTTACAAACACTGCAGTTACCAAATACAATATCAATTCTAGGAGATAATTCTTTTTCGGGCTGCGCACATCTTACAATTATTAATTTAAGCTCGGATTCAATTATTATTGGATCTAGTGCATTTTCTTCATATACAGAACTTAATACAGTTAACGTTCATGGCAGTTTTTCCGAAATTGGAGAATATGCTTTTAATACTTGTCACAAAATTCAATTTTTTAATATCACAGGTGATCTTACAACAATTTCATCATATTCTTTTCAATCCTGCACTGCATTAAAGAATGTTAACATTAGTTCTTCGGTTACAAAAATTGGAGACTTCGCATTTAGTTCATGCAATTCATTGGAATCAATTACATTACCAGACACAATAAATTTTATCGGAAAAGATGCATTTTCCAGCTGTACTTCCTTGAAAACTTTTAAAATCCCAAGAGATTTAACAATAATTCCAGAAAATTTATGCCTTTCTTGTGATGGGCTCCACGAAGTAATAGTAAATAGTAATGGTATCTTATACGAATCCAATTGCTTCGGAAGTTGTCATAATTTGAAGAGTATTACTTTCGAATCTCAAAATATTTGTGATTTAATTATTGACGGCGCCTTCATTGATACACCATTAGAAACAATTACAATTACAAATAAAAATGTAACGATCCTAAGTAATTCCTTTGGCTCATCAATATATACATCATTAACAAATGTTGATATATCAGACGGATATGCATTAATTTTTATTGATGGATTCGATGGATTCAATGGAGATGATTCAACTTTAAGAATAGATTGCAAAAATGTAACATTGAAGAGTTCAAATAATTTTCAACAAACTTTCAAAAGCATTGATATTACATCATTTGATTCTATAGTTATTTATAATAATACTTTTTCAGGCGCAACTGAGTTATCTACGATTAATTTAGATGGAAAAACTGTAGAGATTAATGGAGGTGCTTTTTCAAATTGCATGAATTTAGGAAGTATTTATATACGGTGAAAAAGTTTTACTTGGAACAAATTCATTTAATGGCTGTGGCTTTTTGTCAGAATTAGGACTAAATGCGCAAAATTGTCTGATAGAACAGTATGCTTTAGATGGGACAATTTTCACTGAATTTTCTATGCAACCTATTAATAGTTCAATTGATTCCTATTTGTATTGCTATTCTTTGGGAAGCACGCAGATAGAGAGAATCACTCTTAGCATCACATCAGTAATTTTTGGTTCTAATACAATAACAAATTCAGATTCATTAAGAGAAATAGAGATTACATCAAAAGTTTTCCGAGTGAATGATCAATGGTCATTTGATGGTTGCAATGTCCTTGAGAAAATCAACATAACAAGTGATGAAATATACTTTTCTAGTTATAATTTTCATTCTGCATCAGATTCAGAACATGAATTCTCACTTTATTTGAACGGAAACAATATATCATTAGACAAAGACTTATTTGATAGTTACAAAGTAACTAAAGTTGATATCGATTCTAAAGGATCTGTTTATATTTATTTGACATTTGATTTCCAAAAAAGTTTACAAAGTGTCAAAATACATTCAACTGATAAAATCATAATTGAAGGAGCATTTGAAGGATGTTCTTCACTTTCTTCATTTGATTTTCAATCAAACAATATTACATTATTAGGTAATGCTTTTAAAGATTGCCAAAGTTTACATGAGATAGAATGGAAAGAAGGAATTTCTTATATATCTAAAGATGCTTTCACTGGGTGTAACATTACAAAAATCACTTATCCAGAAAGTAAAAATGAAATTGTACCTGGTGCATTTAGTTATTGGAGTAATTTGAAATATTTTGGAACTAATGTAGTACAATATACAGATCAACGAATCACATTACAACTGTCAAGATCAATAACAAAAATTGGTGATTATGCATTCTATAATTGCAAGAGCTTAATCAACGCACAATTCCCAAGTACAGTTGTTTCATTCGGAATGCATTTATTCGATGGATGCGAAAATCTACTGTCACTTCACATTAATACATCTGCAATCTTTGATCCATCAAATATCGTAGATACAATTCAATTAATATCTGGAAGTGGGTATGAGCCATATTCTATGTTCAATTCACAAATGACACATGTTTCGTCAGATTATTATGAAGTTGCAGTTGGAAAATTCTATAAAAGTCAATTGCAACCCTTTGAAGGAACTTATGTTACAAAAATTAATAAATATGCATTTTATCAATGCCAATCTTTAACATCTGTCATGGTTGGTAATGTTGATTACATTGGTGATTATGCATTTTATGGATGTAACAGGTTATCAGATTTCCATATTTCAAGCTATGTGTATTATATAGGAGATTATGCATTATCTGGACGTACTAGCTTTACCGAGTTTGAAATCCAAAGTATTTCAGAATATATTGGTGAATAAGCATTATTTAGTATTCAAGATATAACATTTCCAGAAAAATTTACAGAATCGGTAACATTTAAAACAAATTTTATCAAAGAAAACAAGATTCCTTCAAATCTAGTTTCAGATGAAGATATAGAAATGAAAGGTCTTGCTTTCAGCACTAAAACTGAATTAACAATAACATGCAAATCATTATTAATTGATAGTTTAACTTCCAGTTCATTAACAAAGCTAAAAATTCATTGTTCTGGAACTGTTCACTTGAAATCTATTTCTCTCTGTAAATTAGCCGATTTAGAAATTAATGGAAAAGACATTATTTTAGAGAAGGAATGTTTTCAGTCAACCCACAAATTAACAAATATTTGGATCAATGGAGAAACTATTGATTTAGGTGAAAAATCCTTCCAAATAATAAACAACATTAATAGTATTTCATTGATTGCAACAAAATCAATTAATTTAGGTGCAAATTTATTATCTAACAGTCAATCTCATCCAACGAATATAGAAATAAAAGGAGGAAATGTTACTTTTGCAGAAGGTTCCTTTAAAGATTGTTATTTCGTTGATGTTAAAATATCAGGAGAAAACATATTTTTCGCAAAAGAATCTTTTGCTTCTTCAAATGATATAATTCCCATTTCTGGAGATGTTGAAATTTTTGCACAGAACAACATTGTTTTCCAACCAAATAGTTTTTATGTATCATATATTGGATCTGAAGAAGAAGAGACTCCTTTATCAAATAAAATGAATATAACAGGTTTGAATCAAGTAATTATTATGGAATCAGCAGTTAAATTATTAAAATTTGGAAATTTAGAGATATCTGCAAAAGAAATGATAACAAGAGAAATGCCATTTGAAGACTGTCAATTTAATAATGTAATTTTGAATGCAACAAATTATGATTTGTCTTCTTCTATCTTTAAAGATATGTCTTCAATAAAGAATATTAAAATTACTGGAGATCTTAAAGTCATTCCAGAATATGCATTCTATCGAACATCAATCACTCGAATTGACATTAAAGGAACGAACATAATAGGTATTAATGCATTTTCACAAAATCCTAATTTGAAAATTGTTAACATTGAAGGTGAAATTTCATTAATTCAAGAGTCATTTTTACAATGCACAGCTTTGCAATCAATCAGCTTTACTGGTAAAAACACTGTAATTGATATAAATTCATTCAATGGCTGTACAGAATTAGAAAATGTAACTATTTCGAACATCAAAGAAATTGGTTCAAGTGCATTTTCTGGATGCACCAAATTGCGATTAATCAATGACATCTCAAATTGTGAGAGAATTGGAGATAAATCATTTGAAATGTGCCAATCATTGGTAATTTTTTCAATACCTAGAAAAGTGAAGGAAATTGAAGAAAATGCTTTTATCAGTGTAATAATTTAGAAAGTGTTACTTTTCATGACAAAATCGAAAAAAATAGATACAATGCATTTGGCGAATGTGCCAAGTTGAATCATATCAAATTGTATGGAAATATCATAATAGACGGTGGATTTTATGGCTGCACTGCATTAGATGATCTCTCCATCAGTGGTGATAATATAACATTCAAGGATTATTCATTTTCGTCTACTAAGTTATCTCAATTAAGATTAACAGGAAATAACTTGAGACTTGAAGGAGGTTCTTTCACTTATTGTGAAAATCTGGTTAAAGTTTTCAATCTTGGAAAGTTTAACATCATTGAGGTAAATGCTTTTCAAAATTTGAAAATTACAGAATTCAATTTGGGAAGTGACTCAGTTTGGGATGTTTCTTCGGTTCATTTCCGGAAACAATAAAATTGACATTTGGTGATAACATTTCTCTTGCCAATCTAGATCAATTTATCGACATCAGTTCAAATCCTTCTAAATTAGAATCAGTTGTTTACACAGGATCATTCAGAGATGATTATTCAGTTGATGAATCTTTCGGTAATTATATCTACCGATTTTCATCATTCATTGATGTTCCATATCGATATAAACTTTCCACATTCTGTTATGTTCCATGTCGTATTGGCGAAAACATGGCAACATTATTAGTTGAACACAATTTTATTAATAGTCATACTCGGAAACATTTACTTGTTTTTGGAGCATTACAATATATTTCTTTATAAATCACATTTTCACTTATAACTCCACCAGATCTGTGGCGTTTACGCATTTCAACTTTTTCATGCAATATAGTAAATCATACTTTCAACCTTTATATTTAATCTCCCCATAGGATCAAAGGATCTCTAGTGGGACCTTATAGTCTTTCTCATTTAGCTAAATATTTGTTTTGAAATTATAAAATATTATGATTAATTGAAGTAATATATCAATAAGAGTATCAAAACACCAATGAAAAGATCCAAAATATAGTAAAATTTTCAAATAAAACGAAAATATAAAATTTGAAATTATTTTATTAAAAGTTAAACATAAATTATATACTATTTATTCAAAGCCACATTATCTATTTCTCAGATGGCTCATTTTCTTGTTTATTTGCTTTATTAGCTCTATTTTTCTTTTTATTGGCTTTTCTTTTCGCATCACGACCTTTCATGAAGCTTTGGCAGCCAGAGCCGCATGAAAGAAGGATAATTTCTATAACTAAAATGAACAACGCTGTGTATACGATGTATAAGTATTTCTTAAACGGTTCTAGTAGTTCTTTAATCGTATCTGTAAATTTTATATCAGGTTTAACTGTTTCTTGAGGTTGTTGAGGCTCTTCTTGTGTTTTTTCTTGTTTTGGTGCAAATTTCGACTTTCTGTTCTTTACCATGTCTGAAATTGGCGCTTCTTCAGGTTGTATTTCTCTCTGTAATAGGTATTGAGTTTCTCCATATAAAATACTTGCAGAATCTGCTGAATTAAATGCAATTGTAAGTTCTTGATCTAAAAGAGTGCCAGTTAAAGCATATTTGCCATCTATTAAATCGAATTCTAAGCTTATTGTGGTTCCTATATTGTTTTGTGTTGATTTTAGTAAAATTTTGTTTTCTACAACTTCTACTTCAAATGCATCGACGAAAGGGTTTAATCTCGACTTAGCTTCGATATTATTTCTATATATTGATCCAATTATTTTATCATCTGCTTTATGAATTTCAATTCCGTAAATTTGATTTTTAAAATCATCATTTATAGCTCCACTTTGTTCTAATTTGACCACAGACCAATCTCCGAGTATTGCATCCTGTATTGATGCTTGTGTTGACAAATAAAACAAAAAGAATTGCATTTTGTCACTTTTATAAAATAAAAAACAATGGAAATCTTAGAAAAAGATACAATATTGTGCAGTGCATCTTATGTCTTTGTGCTATTTACACATAATGCCGTTGATTATCAATATAAAAACATGAATAACACACTTTTATATAAATGAGTTGAATAAAATTTGGCGATCTGTTATGTGAATATAATAACCTACAACAATTCTCTAGACCAAAAAAATCAAAATTAATATATAATTATGGGCCTCAGATAGCAAACAAATGAAGTATATATTATTTGAATAGAGATGAAAATTTTTACTTTCAATACAATATTGTAATAAAAAAAATTATTTGATTAATTTTCCCATGAAGTATCAAGAGCATGTTGAAGAACAAGGTCAATATATTCCTCTTTTGCAACCATAAGGATATGAGTTGACCAATATGACGTAGAATTGAGGTTATGGCACAATAATTTCTTATTTGTCTTCCAATTGTTGCAAACATACTTTGCACCAAAACTGTTGACAACTGAGTCGCCATCAGTGCGTAGTTTTTCTCCTTTTTGAGCATCCCATCCAGAAGTTGTGTCGAACCTATCATTGTAGACGAGGAAAGTTGGTACATCGAGCGGTTTCAACTGGTTTTGATAGAATTCGGTATGAAGGGCTGCAATTTCTGGAGTATCGCGGAATTTTCCGTTTGCTTTGAGAGCTTCGAAGGCATCTTTAGCAGTATAGCTCTTGCCTGCATCATCGATGAGAACTACTTCATCTTGGAAAGCATTAATGTTTGGCAGATGAACATATAAAGCTCCGATTGAGGAAGCAAGCTTTGCCATGATATCTTTGTTAAGTCCGAGGCTGCGTAAGAAGGAAACCTTTCCGTTCCAAAGCTGTTCAACGACTGTTCCTGCTCCGCCGAAAGAAGGTGCAACTAATAAGGCTGATTCGATGTATTTGGCACGCCAGTCAGCTGTAGTCTTGTTTGTTAAGAAGTAATGAACGAAATAACCACCGAGGGAGTGGCCTACAAGGACAACTTTTTGATTGTCATTCTTAACATAAGCTTCTTCGACAAGTTTCGTCATTTTATCATAGTGGTCTTGTCCAAGAACAAGTCCTCTTCTCCAATCGAATGGGGCGCCAAAAAGGTCTTGGCCAACTGTATATCCGTGCTTTTGAAGGTATTTAATGTATTCGTGCATGTAAGGGATGAGTTTAGATGAGTTGAAAATATCATCAATGAAACTCATGCCATTGACTCCTCCGAAATCAACAATATCAATTTTACAATTTTCTTGATCGACAGCATCATTGATTGTTGGATCATAACGCATTGTAAGCCAATCTCCTAAGCAATTAACGATTGGTGGTATAACATATTCTTCATCAACCCAAATTTCTTCATTATTCAGATTTTTTGGGCAATACCAATGTGTTTTTCTATTAGTAATTGTTGCAACAAGATTGCTTCCCATTGTTCCTGGAACAAGAATGATAGGACGAAGCGAAACAGAGGTGGATAGGAACAACCAAATCATTTGAAAATCGGAATTGAAGCAAATCTGAAAACAGAAAAAGTTGAAAAAACCATAAATTATATTTAATGATATGTATTAAACACATTCATTAAAAACTATAAAAAAATCAATTCCGTTTTTGAATGCTCTCAAACCAATAAGACAAAAATAATTAAATAATTTTAATCATCACTATAATTAGATTATATTTGTTTTTCAAATGTTTTCTGAAAAATTTGATTTGACCAAAACTTCATAATATAATAATTCATTAACCATCTATTCATTTTTTATGATTAATTTTTTCTTGAAAAAGAACGCATTTAACGTTCTCATTTGTCATTTATTTTACTTAAATGTTATACACATAGGCGTGTATATTCAATATAGAATCGTTTAAAAGTTCAATCTCTAAGTTTTATAGGATTTCATTTCAATAGAAGTAAATGTTTGGAAAGGCAAATACATAAGACGATAGCATATCTAGCCGAACAATATTTGTGTGATTATTATTAAAATAAAAGAATCTTTTTGATATAAACTTTCAGAAAAATACATTTTTTTGTAGTTATGAGACTATCGAGACAGTTACGAACGTTTGCAATACCAGTAATCGTATCAATTGTTCACTTTTCTTCCAAAATATGGAAGAAATGTAAATTTGTTGATAAACTATAAAATGAAATTATGAATTAATGAGAGAAATGAAGTCGCATGGTTTAGTATATCTTATGGAACCGAAAGGAGATTCCGAAATACTGGTATATGAACTAAAGGAAATTCGATCATTGGTCTTAGTTTTAAAATTTTGCAATCATCAAATAAGGGTTTCGTTTTGCTAAAATTGTCACTTTTATAGCATATTTGTTTTTGGATGTTTTGCGAAACCAAAAAAAAACTATGATATACAATGTGTGTGTAAAGAAAATACTTTATTTACTAGTTAAAAAATCATTTGGTATTGATCAAGTTATTTTTTCTGGATAAGATATTATATGGATAATTGGATAGAAAATACAATTATATAATCTTGTACCTGGTTTAATTAAGCTAATTGTCATCAGAAACTTGTAATTTTTATGAATTTCAGATTTTCTTTTCATTACTGCTTTTCTTAATAGGTCAAGTTCTTATTTACGTTATAAAGTATGATATTTACAAATATCAAGTTATCATGTTTTTTGAGAAATTATGAGAAACAAACAAAAATGAAAAAGATAGGAATAGCAATGAATAGTGATGTGGGTATAGAAAATGTAAGAGATATGAATGCAAAGCAATCAGTATTTAGGATATTGACCATAGATTTCGAAAAAAAAATGCTGCATATTGAGCGAAAACTATGATTATATTATAAGGCTGTCATTTAAAGCATAATGAAACTATTCCTTTTCATTTTAATCGAATAAGATAGTAAAGATTTTTGAATTAGCTAGAAACTGATGAGATGTTTTCACAAATCAGATTTTTAATCTCTATAATGCATAATTCACTCAATATCTCAATTTTGATATTGCGAGATATTTTTGCTATCGGTTTCGCAATTTTGACACAATAGCAAGAGGGTTCTATAAGCATTATTATCAACGTAGAATCTGAATATCATATCAGAAAATGTCGCAAATCTGACATTTACCCGACAAAATAGCAAAAATAATTGAATACTTTTCGCAAAACTTTAAAAATCGATAAAAATATGAAATATAGATATTAAAGAGACTTTTTATATAATATTCATAAAGATTTTCCAAAAATATGATACCGCAAAATTAAAAAAGTGACGTCTTGAGTGGAGTCAAAGGTCGAAATTGCTAGCTAAATGTTTTTTTAGCGAAATTGCGTATTGTACGTTTTTTTTCGCAAAACGAAACCCTTACATCAAACATTTAATTGGATACCTAAACTATATATAGCATAATTTTAAACTTGATCTGGATTGATAAAAAAAAATTATAACGTTTATCAAAAAATGATAAATTTTTTTTTGAATAGTTTATGCTAAATTTTTTTTGGCGGCGAAAATCTAAAATTCAATGTCACGTCAGCATTATGATGCAAATGATGAAGAAAAAAAGATCCTCGTGCCTGCAATTCCTATTTATTTCTCGTTTCAGCCTCGCAGCGACGAGCGAAATAATATAATTTCCCAATTGTTAGACAAGCTACAAAAAATCAATCCGGATCACTGGAACACTACCAATGTCCGAGTGTGGCTCAGAAATAATCAGAAAAACTTCTCTCAGCTTTCCCAAGGAATGGAAATGCAACCGTTATTACCTCCAACTCTGGAATCAACGCCCAAATTTGTGCAACTTCCTAGCGCACCGCAATTACCTAATATACCAACCCATCCTTCCTTATTAGATGACATCTCTATCAGTTCTAATAATAATTCCTTTAATATTCCACCTGCAAACATGTCTTTAATTAACGATACGAAGTCTCAGACGAAAGAGTTATCTGTGTCATTCCCTCCACGCTCACCTTCAAGATCTACCTCTCCATTTCTTGATTTATTTTCATTATCAAGAGCTTCCACGCCAAGCATTTTTGATTCATCCCCTCAGTTTTTGGATGCATGTCCACCAAAGAAAAATAGCATATTCAATTCTGATTCAAGAGAATTTTCACGTCAAAGCTCCACCCCAATTGAAAACAAAAAGCTGGACGTATTCACACCACTCGAGCTCAAAATTCCAGATATTCCAGAGCATTTATTAGAAAACCAGTTCGATGCCTTCAAAAATGAAATGTTTTCTCTACTTAAAAAGCTTCTCGCAGCGATTTCAAGACTATCAATCGTTGAACTCTCCCCTTCGAAGCAAGAAGAACAGATAAACCATGAAAAATACATGAATCAAATCATCGAAATTATGGGAAACACTCTTTCAATAAAGAAAATCCATTGCAAGGATGATGAGTCATCCTACATCATCCCAGCAACTCTCGAAACTATCAAAGAGGACAAACTTTTCATAAGAACTCAACAAACAATTCCGAAAAACATTTCGGCGCGCCTTATTGCTTTATATCAAGGCACAGCTAACATCGGAGTAAGTACAATCGAGAATTACCTCTGTTCGGACTTCTCTAACACAACTCTTTGCGTTGTTAAAAATACGAATTCAGTTACAGAAGCATTTTGCTGCGGTCGTAGCTTTAAACTTTCTTCTGCACCTGTTAAGTCAATTACTTTGGATGAAAATGATACAAGGCTCTGGATTAACTACGGAAATAGCGTTTGTTCGTACAAACTCCAGAATATTCGCGACCAAAAGGAAGGAGAGATCGGAGCGGCATCAGAATACGAAATACAGATCCCTTCAGTCGAAGGAAGAATTTGTAATATTTTTGACTACGTTTTTACTCTTTCAGGAGGCATGATTGTTAGAACAAACCTCTCAAACAGTACTCCACCGTCAAAATTCGATATCAAATTCAACGACAATCCATTAAAGAAGCCAGATTTCTTGGCTTCTCATTTCAATCGCTTATTCGTCGCTTCTAAAGACTACCATACAGTATATGCCCTCGACTTTAGCTTACAGATTACAGAAAGGTTAGTTGGCCATACAGGGAACATTAATTTGTTACTTTGTGCAAATGGATTTCTGTTTGTTGGCTCAACTGACCAATACGTCCGCGTATACGATGCAGAGCATTTATCTCTTATTAATACCATCGATACTACAGACTTTACTCCAGTTTCTGCAACAGGAGGAAAAATCAACGAGTTCCCTGTAGTATTTCTCGGAGGATGCTCGAACAACAGATGCTCTGTACGTGTATACGATGTCAACCAGAAGGCTTTCATCAGCGAAATTTTCACAGAATCCCAAATTCCGGCTCATATCAACTTCGAATCTGACGATTTCACATTGGAAATAATCTGCCAGAACTATGAGAAGAAAGGAGATACGATTGTGATTCCTCAAACAACTCAGACTGCAAATAATTATTATATTTCTTATTTTGTAACTAAGCACTTTTAAATTTTTACTCAGAATTGACTAAATATTATGTTTTAACGATATATATCGGTTTTTACAAGGCTATCAAAAGAATATATTGAAAAAAGAATTTCAATCCTTTGTTTTGTTACTGATTTACAAAGATTTTGTTAAAACAACTAATTTTTCAGTTATGTTTTGACTGTTTTTTTTTTAATTTGAAACACCTCAAAAATCCCCAGGTGACATTTTGATGATATCACAAAGTGGTGTTGAAAGTAATAATATTAAAAAGTTTATTTAATAATAAATTAAAGAAATTAGTTAATTACATGAATTCGAACCTGACCAGGGACAAGTGTTTTCTGTGTTTCCTCGCATCCATTGCTGATCAAATAATCAATAACAGTTTGATTATCGTTTTTAATAGCCAAGTCAAGTGGCATTTCATTGCGATTGTTTGTTGGATTCTTATCAATTTCTGGTTGTGATAAAAGTAGTTTGCATGCATCGATTTGTCCGCTTGATGCAGCAATATGAAGTGCAGTTCTTTCACCACCGTCTCTTTCATTAACATTGTGGTATTGAAGTGCAAATTTCATACCTTCAACATCTCCAATGTAACTAAATTCGTGAAGAATGAAATCATCTTTAGGACTGTATCCGTATTTCTCTAGATATTGAATGAATTTAAGATTTGCTTTAGTTGCTGCTTCAATGACAATATTTGTTAATCTATCACCAGCTTTTGTAAGCTTCAGATAATCATTTTTAACTGCATATTCAATAGTTTCATGATCATTTTTCTCGTAAGAATCGAGAAGAATTCCAAAAATCATATCAAAGTTTCTTGGTTCTTTTGGAACATGTTGAAGCTTTTGAATAGATGATAAATCTTGTGGAATATTCAATGGTTCCTTTTGTTCATCATCTATTATAATTGGTTTTATGATACTCTCTTGACATCCTTGGCTTTTCAAAAAATCAACAAGTTCTTGACGAGCATTTTTCTCAGCTTCAGTTTCATCCTTAAATACTCTATTAGCAAGGTCGAGGGGAGTCTCATCTTTTTGATTTAATTGATTTTTTTCAATTCCTTGTTTTGATAAAAGAAGTTTACAAGATTCCATTTGACATCTGTCTACAGCGTAATGAAGAGGAGTCCACCAATTTTCGCCTTTTTCATTAATATCATGGAATTTGAGTGCATATTCTACACCTTCAACATCTCCAATCTGAGCAAACTTGTGAAGAAAGAAATCATTCTTAGGATTGTATCCGCAAACCTCCAAAAATATAATAAAGTCTCGACCTCCTCTAAAAGCAGCTTCAAGAGCAACATTATTATAAAAAGGTTTGTCTGTGTCTTGGACTTTCATATATTCATTTTCAATTGCAAATCTAATTGTATTAGCATCCTGATTCAAAATTGCATTATCAACAATTTTGTATATTGAATTAAAGTTAGATGGATTTGGTTTAAGATTTTTAAGCTCATCAATTGGTGAAAGAGCTTTTGGAGGGGAATTATAATACTTACGTCTATTTTGTCGTGGTGGTGATGATGCAACACATCCGTTTTGTCTCAAATAATCAATAACAGTTTGATAGCCTTTTTTAATTGCCAAGTCAAGTGGCGTTTCATTGTGATTGTTTGTTGGATTTAAATCAATTCCTGGTTGTGATAAAAGAAGTTTGCACGCATCAATTTGTCCATTTGATGCAGCGTTATGAAGTGGAGTCCATTCATCACTATTTCGTTCATTAACAGCATGGTATTGAAGAGCAAATTTCATACCATTCAAATCGCCACGGTAACTAAATTCGTGAAGAATGTAATCATCTTTGAGATTGTAGCCACATTTCGTTAAAAATTGGATGCAACTAAGACCTAATTTATCAATAGCTGAAATAACAATAGCTGGGTATTTGTCAAAGGGCTGTTTGAGTTTAAAATAATCGTTTTTGGCTGCAAATTCAATTGTTTCCTTGTCTTTTTTCTCAATTGCCTCAAGAAGTACTTAGCATATTTTATAATAGTAGAAAGGACGTTTTGGAATCTTTTGAAGCTTTTCGATGAGAGATAAGCCGCTGAATTCATTTAATGAATAAATAATAGGTAGTAATTCGTGTTGTTTGTTAAAAATAGGGTCAGGTTGTGAAGTTGTCGCATTGCCTTGGTGATTATTTGCATTTGGGTTAGGTTGTGGAACATATGGTGTGAATTTTGGTTGTGGTCTTGGTTTATATCCACCACGGTTATATCCAGTATTACCTGAGTACTTAGGGCCTTTCTTCCACCCGCCATCAGTTGATCTTCCGTAAGGGTGAGACATTTAATGAGTTCAACTCTGAAAAATTTTTGAATTTTTGACTACTCAAAATTTACTAATCATTCTATATCACGCATTAATATATACAATCGATTTTTTTTATGAAAAATTTCTGAGGAATATAATCGATAATTTTTTTTAGTACTTTCGCAATGCAACAAAATCATTTTTCAAATTAAATCAGAATTAGTCAAAAAAAGTAAGAAATCACATAAAGATATTGTTATAGACCGAAAATAGATTTTTTCGGTTTTCTCTTCAAATAATTGAAAGAATGATACTATTATAGGTTTATTATATTATATAGCATATAATCATGCTATAGCCGAAAATTATAAGTTTTGAGAAGATTGAATATAACACAAATAAATTTGAATGTAAGTTAAATTGCTTGTTGTTTTTAATAGCTATTTAATGAGAAATCCAATATTGCAAAATTCAAATTGAATGATTGAAAGAACAGAAAAAGTCATTCTTTTCAATTTCGAATATGTTTCATTGTCTTTATAATTATATGGCAAATAAGATATTTAAACTTGATTTTTGAAGGAAAATTCACAAAATTGAATAAATTCAAATAATTTTTATTCAAAAATAAACTAGTTATTTAAGTTTAATACTAATTATCTATTCAAACTACGAAGTTTGTAATTTAAAATATTTTGTGAGATCAGATTGAATTAATTCAAGGTTCTTTTCAATTAATATTAATGACCATATTACGCATTTTCGAACATTCTAAACCAAATATATAAAAATGGGAGACGAATGTTAAATTTGCTAGACATGGGGGAGTTGTCTGCAAAGTTTTAGCTCTTATCTCTAACAAAAAATTAATTTTTAAAAAAATGACCGAATACGTTTCACAGCGAGAAAAAAATAAAAGGCAAGATAGAATTTTCTAGACATAAAGAAGTTGTTTACCGAGTTTTAGCTCTTATCTCTAACAAAAAATTAATTTTTAAAAAAATGACCGAATACGTTTCACAGCGAGAAAAAAATAAAAGGCAAGATAGAATTTTCTAGACATAAAGAAGTTGTTTACCGAGTTTTAGCTCTTATCTCTAACAAAAAATTAATTTTTAAAAAAATGACCGAAAACGTTTCACAGCGAGAAAAAAATAAAACTGTACACTGATTTTCATTTTCATTTACAGTCACTTTACTTATTATTTTTTCTTTTTTTCATTTTAATTATAAATTATTTCATAATACGTTTATTTACGTTACCATTTTCTTTATTCTTTTGAATTCCATACGAGACACTTATAGAATATTTTGATTGTTAACGTACTTCATTAGAATGAATCCTTACAAAGGGTATGTCGATCGAATTTACCTAATTGGTATTTCCAATCAGATTGAAGAAGGTAAAATGACATGGGAAGAAGCTTGCACCCATGTTCCCATCGCCCCAACCCTTCAATCAAATGATTTCAAATATTTAGATGTTTCAAAATCTTTTTTACAAAATCAATTTAGCTTACAGAATATCCCATTGCCTAAAGGCAAGAAAGGTCGTAGGGTCAATCCCTACGACCAAATCAAAGCTCTTGCTGTGATACATGACCACTGGGCCTTTCCCTGTGGTCAAACAAAACAGTGGAAACGTTTGAAATTACAACAAATTGATGTATCTTATAGAGAAGTACGCAGATACTTCAAAGAAAATCATTTCACCAAGACGCGATTAGAGCATGCCGGGCCAGAAACAACAGTAAGATATTGGGCGCTTTCACCCAATCTTATCTGGCACGCAGATGTTCATTATTTTAGGGGTGTTCGTGGCCAGTATATTTATGGCATAATCGACGATTTTAGCCGCAAAGTCCTAGCGTGTATACAAATACCAGATATGCTGGCAGCGACGACAGCGAACGTTGCGGCTTCCGCCTTCATTGAATTTGGCGCCCCTTATTGTTTCTGGACAGACAACGGTTCAGAAAATAGGGGCGCCTTTCAAGATCTACTTGATCTTTGGGGCGTCCAATGGCGGCATACAGACTCTCATTCTCCCTACCAAAATGGGAAGATTGAGAGATTCTGGCCGACATTGGAGCGCTGCCAAAGCATTCAGGCTATTCCTGCCTTTATTTGGGAGGACAATAATAACACACCGCATGAAGATCTCCCAATTAATACATTAACTGGAACAAATTACACGCCAAATCAAATGTATCAGCTGAAACCGAAATACACAAATGCAGATACAGAAAGGTTGTGGCAAATATGGGATACAGATACAGGCATGACCGCTGTTGACACATTCACAGCGTAATAATAAACATAATTTTTTAATTTCATTTTTAACAAGTTTTTTTGAATGTATGTAATGAATAATTCATTAGAATATGATAATGCACATTGTAACAGAATAGAACAATTACCAAATTTTTTTTTGAAATTAAAAAATAAAAGTAAAAAGTATAAAGTAATCTAACCAAAAAAGATATTTAAAAGAATTTTGGAAAAAACAGAATAAGGATAATGATATTATTTTAGATACACAATCGATGTACTGAAGAATAATCCGGTAAAATGATGATATAAAATTAGATTATTTTACAAGTAGCTAAAAGAATAAAACTATAATATAAAATAAATGAAGTTTAATGAAACAATAAAGGTTAAATAAATAATAAAGATTTTTATTTTATATCAGTATTGAGAAGAAGTAACAGCTGACACTTGGTAGACAACTTCTTTATGTCTAGAAAATTCTATCTTGCCTTTTATTTTTTTCTCGCTGTGAAACGTATTCGGTCATTTTTTTAAAAATTAATTTTTTGTTAGAGATAAGAGCTAAAACTCGGTAAACAACTTCTTTATGTCTAGAAAATTCTATCTTGCCTTTTATTTTTTTCTCGCTGTGAAACGTATTCGGTCATTTTTTTAAAAATTAATTTTTTGTTAGAGATAAGAGCTAAAACTTTGCAGACAACTCCCCCATGTCTAGCAAATTTAACATTCGTCTCCCATTTTTATATATTTGGTTTAGAATGTTCGAAAATGCGTAATATGGTCATTAATATTAATTGAAAAGAACCTTGAATTAATTCAATCTGATCTCACAAAATATTTTAAATTACAAACTTCGTAGTTTGAATAGATAATTAGTATTAAACTTAAATAACTAGTTTATTTTTGAATAAAAATTATTTGAATTTATTCAATTTTGTGAATTTTCCTTCAAAAATCAAGTTTAAATATCTTATTTGCCATATAATTATAAAGACAATGAAACATATTCGAAATTGAAAAGAATGACTTTTTCTGTTCTTTCAATCATTCAATTTGAATTTTGCAATATTGGATTTCTCATTAAATAGCTATTAAAAACAACAAGCAATTTAACTTACATTCAAATTTATTTGTGTTATATTCAATCTTCTCAAAACTTATAATTTTCGGCTATAGCATGATTATATGCTATATAATATAATAAACCTATAATAGTATCATTCTTTCAATTATTTGAAGAGAAAACCGAAAAAATCTATTTTCGGTCTATAACAATCACATAAAGATATCTAAATAAAAAAATGATCAAGAAAAGGAAATACATTGATATAAATCAAATTTATAATGATTAGTACACTTCGTCTTCGAATCCATCGAAATCTTCAGCCTCGTCGAACGCCTGTTCGAGAGAAATAGCTCCTGCAACCTGCCTTGAAACAATTGGCTTGTTGCGGTCAGGGAAGTAGCTCTGGAACCAGATGTGGTTCAAAGCTTCCTGGGCAGAGAGTCTGCGGTCTGGATCCTTCTCCATGAGCCAGCGGATGAGGTCCTTGGCCTCGTCAGAGACATCGTCAAAGGCCTCTGAGTTGAAGTCGTATCTAGCTTCGATTATCTCTCTATGGCAATCTCCGCTTGGGAATGGAGACTCCGCGGTAAGAAGAACATACATGGTAACACCTAATGACCATAAATCAATCTTTTCACCATCTGTGTGTTAGTATTTTGAAAAAAATAAAAATTTTTGCGAAATTTATCAAATAAAAATATTTGTAAATTAGGCAAAAATAAAATAGTACATACATGGTTTGTGTAAATAAATTTCTGGAGCTGCATAAATAGGAGTTCCGACAGAATCATTTAATAACTGGCCAGGATTAAATCTTTTAGCAAAACCGAAGTCTGCAAGTAAAGCAAGTGGATTTTCTAAGTCTCCGTTCTGAAGGAATATGTTTTCTGGTTTGATATCGCGATGCATGATACCAATTGAGTGACAATAGTCAATTGCTTGGAGCATTGAGTACATAATCTTGCATACAGTCTGCTCCTTCATTTTGCCGTTCTGGTAGACAATCTCAAAGAGGTCACCGCCAGTAGCTAAAGGCATGACAACGCAATAGTAAAATTCGATATCAAATACATCCATCGCTTGGATGATATTTTGATGCTGAAGTGAACGCATGATGTTAACTTCGTCTTCAATTGCTTGTGGATTGGCTTTTGCTTTTTTGATGCATTTAATAGCGAGTTTGCAGCATTTCTGCTCGTGATAAGACTCGTAGACAATAGCATGCTCTGTCTCGAAGATCTTGGTATAAAGTCTATATGGGCCAATAAACTCAGGAGGTGGTGGTGGAGGTGCAGTCATTTTTTTTTCCGAAGAAAAGTGACATCAAAATTGATCAATCAAATTCGCTGTCTTTTATTAGAACAGAATATCATATAATTATTATCTAAAAAATTCAAGATGAAAAAAGAGAAATGTTGACAAAATTTTTTTTTGGAAAAAAATATGAAATGGAATTTTTATTCATGAGGATGTTTTGTATAATATCATTTTTAAGAAATGAAAATTTTGACAAATTATTTTTGAGATGAAAATGCTTTTATGCCATTCTCCATCAAGATTTCGGTACATATTTTGATGGAGAATATGAACATATTAAAAGTGGCACTTATTCGTTAGACAAAAACTACTGCGTCGAAGACAGTTTCTTTGAAAATCTCAAAAATCGAGCCATTTATTCTTCAGGTGATTGTAAATTTCTATTTGAAGATAGTACATTTGTTAATATATCGCATCCATCAGACGATGGTGGAGCAGTTTATACTGAAAAAGGAGAAAACGTTCACAACCGAATTTGTTCATTCAATTGCTCTTCACCAAAATGGGGACAGTATTGTTCTAGTCAGTCGTCTGATGGAGAACGCAAAAACTACTTTATCGAAAGTTCTATATCAAGTTCTTCAGAAACTCCAATTGGACAAGTACCATTAAATATTTTTCAAGGAAAACAATACTTAACTAAAACAAATGTTTCATATTTTAGAACATTTCAAACATGTGGATACATTTTTCAATCAGGAGAATCAGAATCAAATTCCACATATATAATTCAATAATAAATAATACATCAACAAATGAAATTTGTATTTACAACTTTGGTTTACCTACAGTAAAAATATATAAATGTAACATCATTAATAACTCTGTAAAAAATTATGTTATCTACAATTATAAATGTAATCTATTAACAGTTGACAAATGTAACATTATTGATAACTCAGGAAATAAAACTTTTTATGTAAATTTGGGTTATAAAACAGAAGTTATTAATTGTTACCTTGGAAATAATAATAATAAAACATACGGAAATGTTGTATTTAATAACACTTACAACAAAGAAATAAATCTCGAACTAAAACATCTTTCGACAGGATTGTGCCAAGCAAAATATTTAGATTTTAACAATCATCAAACAGTTTCATCCGAATTTAAAATTTTTAATTTATTTCCATTTTATATTGTATTATTTATTAGCAATGATAATTTTATTTCAGAATCCGAATCAAATAAAGCAGCAGTATACAATCGAAACATTCTTTCTACTTTATCTAAACTCAAATCTATCATTTTTTCTTTATTCAGATAAAAAGAGTGTGTAAAATATAAACATGAAATCCACAATCGACACTCTCTTTTTGACTTCTTCAACTTTCTTTTCTTTTTTCTTCAAATAAAAGTAATTGTTTAGCAGCTTTTTTATATATGTAGTTTAAAAAAATACACATTCTGACTTTATTTCATATTTCCAACAAAATTATTAAGCATATATTAGAGAATTACACAACATTACATAAGGGCTCAAGTGCAGAAAGTTAAAGTTTTCATTCCTATCAATTCAATAAAATTGCGTGATGCACAGTAATTATAAATTTAGAATGGTCGCTTCAATCTATACCATGATATGCAAAAAAAGTTATCAATAATTCTTGCAATTATATAATCCTTTTGTTAATGATTTATATCATATAAATTAATTTAATTAAATTCTACAAGATCCATCTTGATTTTCTTTGAAAATGCTTAGAACTTCTTGTGATTTAGCTAAATCAATTGGATACTTATCACTGCAATTTATAACATCAATTCTACTTCCATAATGAATTAGAATACTAACAATTGCTGCATTTCCAGATATCGCACCATAATGAATTGGAAGATTCCCACTGGTGTTTTGGATATTGACTTCAGCATGTGATATAAGTAAGTATTTAACTGCTTCAATATTATTGTTTTTACATGCAATATGAAGAGGAGTGTTCCATTCATTATCTCTTTCATTAATATTAGAACCATTCTCAAGTAATAAATGGAAAACTTGATTTCCTTGCTTAATAACTGATAAATGAAGAGGAGTTTCTCCTTTTTCATTTTTCAAATTAACTGTTTCACTGTTGCAAAGAAATAAAGCAATTCTGAAACTGTTACTTTCTGCTGCTAAATGCAAAGGAGTGTTTCCATTTTTGTTTGTAGCTTTTATATTAACACCTCTTTCGATTAAATCTATTGCAACCTTTTGACTTCCTTTTTCAGCTGCCAAATGAAGTGGAGTATTTCCATCTTTATTCATCTTTTCAATATTTGCTCCATGTTCTAAAAGTTTCGTTTCACAATCAATAAAGTCTTTAATTGCTGCAAAATGAAGAGGAGAATTTCCATTTTCATCTTCTGCTTCGATTTCAGAGCCATTTTCAAGCAATAAATCAATCATTTTCAAATTATTCTTTTCAACTGCAAAATGAAGAGGAGTTTTTCCATATCGATCAACAGCATTGATATTTGCTTTATATTGAATTGCAAGAAGAGCTGTTTTGATTCCATTTGATTCTGATGCATAATGCAATGGTGTTTTCTTGAAATAATCAATCGCATCTAAGTTTGCACCTCGCTCAATGAGAATCTTTGCAGTCAATGTGTTGTCTTTTTCAAAAGCTGAATGAAGAGGAGTCCTCAAACATGAATCTTGTGGATTCAAATCAGCACCATGATCAATTAGGAATAAAACTGCTCTTGCATTATTTTGTGAAACAATATGTAATGGAGTTTTCTTTGAATAATTGCTAAGATTGATATCTGCGCCATTTTCCAACAAATATTCTGCACATTCAAAATAATTCCAGACAACAGCTGTCAAAAAAGCCGAATTTCCATTTCCATCTCTTGAATTGATGTTTATTCCATGTTGGATAAGTAGTTTTACTGCTTCAATATGATTCAGTCTAGATGCAAAATGCAAAGCTGTTTCACCTGATTTATCTGTTTTATTAACATCTGCTCCTTTTTCAATTAATAATTCTAAAACATCGACACGGCCTTTCTCAGATGCGTAATGAATTGGAACTTTTTCGCCTTCACCGCTCACAGCATTAACATCTGCACCGTGTTCAACAAGAGTTTTAACCATTTCGAAAGATCTGAATGAAATTGCAGTGAAAATCAAAGAATTTTCATTTGCTGGAATAATAGAAGCCCCATGAGATAAAAGAATCGAAGCTGGTTCAACTGCATCATTATTAACTGCTATTTGTAATGGTGTTGATCCAAATTTATTCCTTATATTCACTTGTGCTCCTTTTTCAAGTAAAGTTATCGCGGTTTCTGTGCAATTAAATTGAGATGCATTGTGAAGAGGAGTATTTGATCCATACATCCAATTAACAAACGCTCCATTCTCTAATAGAAGAGTTACTGCTTCATATGAATTATATTCACTTGCGACATGAAGAGGAGAGTCAAAAACATTATTCATAGAATGAATATTTCCTCCTTTTTCAATCAAATATGACAAAACTAATATTGAGTTGTATTTTGCTGCTTCGTGAATTGGAGTATTACTATCTGTATCTGTCGAATTTATTTCTGCTCCTTTATCAATTAAGAATTTAACAACATCGAGATTATTCACTCTAGACGCAATGTGAAGAGAAGTTTTACCTTGTGAGTTATGGAAATTCGGATTTTTCGAATGATCGAAAACAAATTTGAACAAATCAAAGATCCAAAACCCTGGACAATAAACTAAACATTCATCTAAATCGAAGCTTTCATCGATTGCTACTAAATACAATGGTAAATTGTTGTATTTGGCAATCATTTCTAATTCAATATTCAGATTAAAATTACTCCTCAAATAAAGTGCGAAATCAATGTTGTGACTTATAATTGCAGACTCCATGCAGTAAATATCTGGAGTAACGTGTTTGATACACTCATTAATGATACTGCTGTTTCCTCTTAATAAACTGTTTTGTAAACATTTTGTTGTCAAATTGACATTGTTTGATCGCAAAAATTTGAAACATTTCTCGGAGCCATAATAAGAGCAATATTCGAGTAACGTGAACTTGTTATTCTCATTGAAGATGAACTCTTTATCAAGATCGAAATCATTATTAATTGAATGAAGTCTGAGCCCATCAATGTCGTCATTCATCAAACAGAATAAAAGAGAATTTTTTGGATGAACTGAAAGAATTTCTTCAACTGATAAGTCGCAGAATTTATTTCCTTTGTTGATCAGCCATTTGATATCATATTCTTTCGAGATTAGCGTCATAAATCGTTTGTCAAAATAGATTCTGTTCAGTTTTGGATGGAACTTTTCGTATAAACGCTTGAAAATGAACCAATAAGCTGATGAATATCGGTCATTATAGGAACATGCGGTACTTAGAGTTGACAGAATCTGGATAACTGGAATCTGGTATTTATCGATGAGAATATTCAAAATTAAATTTAATATCTCTTCGATATCTTGATTGGAAGCCGAATCGAGCCTGTAAATTCGATCGAACACATGTATGTAATCTTTGTACTGTTCAGAAAATTGTGAATAAATATTTGAATGAATCCGATTGGAACTCATTCAGAAAAGTGAACTGATATAATCTAACTATTTAATGAGAAATAGATATTTCAAGAGTAAGTTATTCATATTCAATAGGGAGACATGCTCATGATTCAAGAAAATAATAATTCGTTAAAAAATACAAATCATCTAACTTTGTTTTATTGAAATAGATAAACATCTCTGCTAAGAAAGATGTAATGCTTGACGAATCTTTAATTTAACAAAACAAATTAAAAATGAATGAAATAATGCCAGGAATACATGAATTATTGCCAAAGTCTAACTCTTAATGAAAAATGCATTCGTATTATTTAACGGATCACTGGTCAAATATTGAATCAATCGAAATTTCTTAATTTCGAAGCAAATACTGCTATTATTTAGCTTAGCTAAGGTTTTTGATTGTTGATATGTAAGATTGGAGCATAACTTAAATATCAATCGAATGGAATAAATTGAAATATAAAAATTAATGATTACTATTTTAGATCTGGAGCCAGATATATTGTCTGCAACAGATAATAATGATCAAATACAACGAACCAGATCCGAATTTATAATTTTGAGATCGAAAATATATTTTTGAATCCGAAACGATTATTTTCCGAAATTTTGAAAGTATTTCCCACGCAGAAGTTGACATAATTTGACCTTGAATATTTTTCCGTATCTGTAGTCTAATTTGTTCAAGTGGTTAATCTTTCAAAATTCACAGTCATTGTCAATTTTTGATCAAAAACTAGTCAAAATTCAAATTATTTCATAACGGAAATATTGTTTTATGTCCGTGAAAGATGGTAATATTAAAAATTTTTGCAAAACCAATATAAAAATTTTTATTAACGTTTTGATGTTGCGCGATCAATGCCTTTATTATTTTCGGGAATTCCTCGTGGCAATATCAGGCGATGTTTCTGCATATGCTTCTCGAAAGAAGCAATTGATTCTACCTCAAATTCCTCTTCAATTTGTCAAAAATATCATTCGGGAAGTTACAATAATATTTAAAAACGAACCTAATTTACTCAGTATTAAAGCTCCAGTAGTAGTATGCGGCGATTTACATGGCCATATTCTTGACTTATTTCGTATCTTAAAACAATGTGGTTCGCCAGAAGCAAAAAAATTCATTTTCCTTGGTGATATAGTCGATAGAGGTGAATTTTCAGTAGAATGCATTATACTTATCTATATAATGAAAATAGTTTGGCCAGATAACGTTTCAATTATACGAGGAAATCACGAATTTGGCTATTTATGTAGTCAATGTGGCTTCCTTGAGCAATTACTTTCATCTTATGGGGAGCCTATGCTATTTCAATACTTTATTTCTTCATTTAATTATAACACATCGTTATGTATCCATGGTGGACTAAGTCCATCATTACAGCTACTTTCTCAGATAAAAAACCTTCAGAGGCCAGTTGAAGACTGGGAAGATGATGTTTTGAACGGTCTCGTATGGTCTGACCCAGATGTTTCCGGCTACTGTGATGAATTTAGCCCTTCCTCACGAGGAACAGGTTATTTATACGGCCAGGCCTGCGTTGAAAGATTTTTACGAAAAAACGGACTCAAATATTTGATAAGAGGCCACGAATGCGTCCAAGACGGTCTCCGAGTCACTTTTAATTCAGTCATCACTGTTTTCAGTGCATCGAACTATTGCGGTGTCTCAAACAACGACGGCGCGTATATTTTGATGAAGAGCGATGACACGTATGACATTAAGCCTCTTCCTGCCTTGGATTACCTCTTGAGAAGCTACGTAATCTTCAGCAAAGGAAAAACAGAAAACGAGAGACCATTGGTCAAAATAAGTGAGCCAAAGTCAGCCAGGATTATTCAGCCGAAACCTCTTCATTCTCCAATGAATAACCAATCCATCAAATCACCTCGTGTTTCTTTCACGAAGAATAAGTTGCCGGCATTGCCGGCACATAATAGAGCAAGAAATTAAATAAAAAATTTGTTTGTATGTATGTTTTAAGTTAAATTAATCAAAATGTTTTTTATTTAATTACTTTGGACATATTAAGAGGTGAATGTAAATATCAAAAAATGGTTTTATATACTCAAATGTAAAATGGCATCGTTTATAGAAAAATTTCACTAATTTACTAATTTTCCTCACAAATTAACGCATGCAAATAGCACAATGAATCATATTTTGTGTCCATTTGTATAATTCTGGCAAGAAAACTTTATTTCCTTAATTCAGAATAAGATAAACACATTTATTAATTTTATTGCCTTCTGGTTTGAAGTGAGATACAATTCTATTATCAATCATTTTTATATATTAGGTTCATTTCTTCCTTTGTCGATAAATAACTATATTGATATTCAAATTACTAACGAAATTCTACAAAATCTGTCTCTATTGGTTAATTAATGATTTTCAAACAAAATATTAGAGTATTTTTCTATGATATATTTGTATCAATTGGGATCATTACTACTTGTATCTGAATTTAAGGTTTTGACATATTGTATGTAATCAGATTTACTTTTTGATGGATTTTCTAATTGCCATCTTAATAAAGAATCGCCTAATTTATTAATTGAAGAAGGATTAACTGATTTTCCATGAATTCCAATAAGCTCTCTATTTGAAAAGAATGGTTTTGTGCTCCATGCATCTTCCATACCCTCATTGATGACGAATTCTGAAAATTGAGAAAATAATTTTTGCCCAGATTCAGTTTGAAGAATTTCAGATGCAAGTTTCCAGTTTTGTCCCAATTCTATTAAAATTTTCCCCGCAGAATATCTGGTGAGTTCGATCTGGCCTTGATCATCAAAGATTTGAGAAGCATAGAAAAATCTTCTTCCTTCAACTGCAAAAACATTAGGAATTTGATACTTCTTACAAACACCACTTAACTTGTACTTAGAATCTTTTAGTGGAAGATAGATTGCACCAAAATACAGAGCATTATTTGGTGTTTTAATCTTAATTACGCGATGAAATGCTTCAATTGCGTTTAATTTGTATATCCCATCTATGTCAAAGATCATTCCAAATAAATTTGAAAGTGAATTTAATAAAATCGGAAAAACTTTCTGAAAATAAGCTCCATTTAGCATTTTCATTAACTCTAATCCGATTCTTGCTGAGGGAACTTTTTTCTTAAAGTTATTTTCATCAATTTCCAATAATGCATCAATAATCTCTTGAGAAACACTAAAACCTAGAATTGAGACAAATCTAAGCAATCTGAGTATTCTCCTTGGCTCATTATAAAATGCTTTCTTCGGTTCAACTGCTATTTGTATAATTTTATTTTTGATTGAATAAATTCCATTTGCAGGATCTTCGATTTTCATTTCATTGACATTAAAATAGATAGAATTAAGTGTAAAATCTCTTGTTTTTGAATCGTCTTCAATATTTTCAATATATGTTATATCAATCCACAGATCTTTTTTAAGATTCACTCTAATAATACTAATAACAGTATCTTCTTGTAGATTGCCTTCAAGTTTTGTTATACCCTTTGTTTCGCATACGGTTTCTATCGCACGAGCAAAGCCTTCAATATCAGAATTCCCTGAAATGCAAACATCAAAATCATTGTTTTCGAGACCAAGCAAATGATCTCAAACCCATCCACCAGCAAGGCGGATGACTGGTAATGGATGTAATCTACCGGAAGCAGTTTTAAGAATCGAAATTATTTCTTTATCTAAATCTGTAAAGAAGGTGATTTCCATTGTCTTTAAATTTTTGACACTTTTTATGGCAAAATTCTCTTTCAAATCTAAATAAAAAAATGTTCTCTTTTCATTCCAAAGATGTACAAGTAACAAACAATTGTAACCAAGTAATTAAAAATCGTCGCTCATATTCAAGAAAATTCGAAGCTTTTAATTTCATTTCATTTTTCATTTTCTTGTTTTTATGCAACGATAAACTTGTTTTGAGAATTGAAAAAGAAGGACGATTAGCATACGATCATCATTCTCTGATTGGTATGTTCTTCCATAAATCTCTTTCTTTCTCTATATAATTTTTTTTTCTTGAAAAAACTCCTCTTCACTATGCACGAAAAACTAATAACCCTTAATAGATTAAATTATTGAAATGTTCTAGTTAAAATCATCATACATACAAAATTTGATACTCTATACAACTTTGGAAGAAGAATGATTACGCATCTTATTTTCTATGAAAATTTGAAATGAAAGAAAATAATGTATTACTATCATCCAACTAAAGGATATAAATATCGCAAGATTTAGCTCTTCCTGAATTTTTCGAAAAATACGTTTTTTTATCGAAGGGGCGAAAAATTTTATATCCGATGACTACTGAGGCGACAGAAGCACCAAAGCAGGAAATAACCGAGCCTGGTGATGCAGTCGTCGAGCAGGAAAAGAAAGAGATAGTCGAGGATGTCATAAAAATCGAAGATCAAATTAACGAAAATGTGATCAAACCAGAAGGATCGCCAAAGAAAGTCAGACGCCAAAATCCGGAAACGGAAGAATATAACTACTATTATTCAGATGATGAAAATGCTAAACAACAACCAGAAACAAAAGAAGAAAAGCCAAATACAGAAGTTTCGCTTAAAAACAGTCTTTTTGGGGCTTTAAATAGCGATAAACCTGCAGAAAAGCAAGAAACTCAAAATCAAGATGCAGGAGAAACTCTTGCAGAAAAATTATTAGATAATAACAACCCGCCACCAGCAGAAAACCAACAACAACCTGCCGAACAACCACCTACTGAAAAGCCTGAAGAAAATAAAGAGCAACCCGAAGAAAAGCAAGAAAATAACGAAAAATTAGAAGCACCGATTCAAGAAGTTTTACAAGAAAAATTACGCAATATGGATCCCAATAAAAAGGATGACGACGCTAAAGAAAACCAAAATCAAGAAAATCAAAACGAAAATCCACAAAACCCAGAAAACGCTGCCGAACAACCAAAAGAACCCGAAAATACTACAGAATCTGCTGAAAAACCGGCTGAAGAACCTCAAAACGAGGTAAAGCCTGAAGAACAACAAAATAACGAACAACAACCAGCTGAACCTGCAGAACAACCACAGCAGACTGAAGATCAGTCATTACATGGAATAATACAAGAAAAATTACTTGGTAAACAAAAAGATGAACCAAATCCCGAAAATACACCAGAAAGCCAGCAACAAAACAAAGAGAACAAAGAGGATAACAACGAACAAAATGCCGAACAAACTCAGGAACCTGTAGAAGACCAAAATCCAGAAAATCAAGTTCAAATTGTGGAACCGAACGAAAATGAGAACCAGCAAGAAGGTCAGAATCCACAGGAAAATCCAGCTGATCAACAGAGTCCCGAAGATAAAGAGCTTGAAGAAGCAATGGATGATATGATCAACAAATTCCAAGCCCCGCCTCCACATTTGCGCGCCAGGATTCGCCAGATCATTAGTCATAGAAGAGTCGATGCAATTGTCGCTGGACAATACGAACAAGCCGAACTTCAAGACCGTTATGAAAGAGCTTTGGCAATTTCCCTTCAAGCTGAACAGGATCGAGCAAATGAAGACAATAGGATTGATCTTTTATATGCCAGATACGTCAAGCTTCAAGAACAACTCCAAGATATTAATCAGAAATACGATGACGAAATTAAAGCTTGCAATGATAACAGCCAGCATTTACTTGATCAGCTAAAAGAAAAACATGCTCAAGAACTTGATGAATTCACGAAGAAATGGAATGATGAAAAATTCTTGCTTCAGTTCAACAAGCCATCCTCCAAATTGCTTCAGCTAAGAGAAATGGAGAAAGCGCGTGCACTTTCCAGACTCTACCAGAAAGCCAAAGAAATTAAAATTATTGCCGATAGACTCCAGAACGAAGAAACGCAAGCTGCTCAACGACGAATTAATGCACAAATGGAATTTGAGAAGAAAAAGCTTCTCGCTAGGCAAGAGAAAGAAATTAAATCAAATGAGGAACACCGAGCCATTGTTATACAGAACAAGAACTTGCAAAGGGAAACAGAGACGAGGCCGGTTCAAGTTGCGATAGCCCAAATTAGAGCGAAGAAAGGAACAATTGTTGTTGCTGGAAAGCCTTCTTCTCAAGCTGTTACGAGAGATTTTGCCGATGCAGATAAATCTCCTCTTTCTCCAAGGACACATGAAAAATTAAACAATTATAGAGCAGTTAAGCCAAAACCAAGATTATCTGTTCATGGTGCGGTAGAATCAAAGCCTAATTCTCCAAAGAATCGGCCTAAATCATCTACTATTAAGCGGCCTTTTACTTCAGCCTCTCATAGAGGTAAGTTTACCAGAAAATAAATTGTTAATAATTTCTCAGATGAAAAAGAAATAAAAATTATGTTCATATTAATTATTAAAACTTTTTTAAATATCTAAATCTCTATGGGGATTCTTTATAACTTCAAAATGTCCTTAAAATTAAATTCTTTTATGTTGGTAGCTATGATTTATTTATGGATTAAAGACTTTAATAAAAATCTATGAATTTAATGGTTTTAAAAACATTTTTTTATTTCTAAAAAATCCAGAATTTGAAAAATGAAATCAAAAACAAGGAAAAATTCGATGAATTACTGTTAAAATCATTATAATAAATTAATCAAAAAACACGTGTAACGCATCTAATTTCATTAATAAATTAAGATCCAATGTTGAATTAATTATTTTTTAAAATTTTAAAATTTGAAATCTTTTCTTTGGTATTTGGCTTAAAATCATAATGAGCACTGTTTACATTTAAAATTTAGTACATAAAATAATGTCAAAACAGCTTTGCTAGCATTTTTTTATCCATTCTTTAACAAACAATAGGGACAAAAATCTATGAAATTCGTATTTTCGGATAAAAACATATTCGGAAGGACATAGAGTGAATGAATTCGGACAGAATAACGGCGGTTCGCAACCTTCAAATGCGAAAATCAATTTGATCAATTTATGATGTAGAATAGTAATTTCTCTTTACATTTAAATGTACATAATGAGAAATGTTTAATTTTTTTAAAACTAACATATTTATTATTAAATTTTGGAAATTTAAGACAGGAAAGCTAGAAATTATTCAACATTATAATACTTAGATGAAATATAATATATATTTTGAGAGTAAAGCAAATATGAGCATACATAAATCAACTTTATTTTTAGAATTCAGTAATTAAGAGTTAATTATATTTGAAAGATGTTTATTGAATGCACGAAGAACAAATGTAGTAGAGACAAACAATTTTATTGATTATATTATAATTGTGTTTTATTTAGAGTTTCATGATAATAATTTGCGTATATTAATAATAAAATACACTACAAATTTATAATCTCTATACAAAAAACAACAAACATAATATAATTCATGTTTTGAATACAATATGACGTTACATATTGAAGAACGAGAAAGGATCAGCACTGATTTCGTTTAGGAGGTCAAACATCTGCATTTCGTTGAATATGCTGAAGCCCTGTTCAGACTGTTCGATCTGCTGAGAAATCTGTTGAACTGTCTGCTGATTGTCCTGCTGGAAGTCATTTTGATTTTCCGGATGACTGTCAATCTCTGTGAAAGACTCTTCGTCGAAGTTTTCAGTTTGACTTGGACTGCAGTCTGACTGGAGAGGAGACTCCGGAGACTTTTGTGTATTTGTCTCCTTCTTGACTTGCTTTGTGATGATTTGGTAGCGATACCTGCATTGTACATCTGTCCTACCATCGATCTCGTTAGAGATCTTTGTCCAAGAGCGCTTTCCGTGCTTGTTGACCAAACGGAGAAGTTTCTCATCTTCTTCTTTCGTCCATTGCGTCTTGTTGATTAGAGGATTGAGACTCCTAGACCAGCGCTGGACACACTGGCTTCGTGAACGACCATTGCCAACAAACTCGCTAATCTTGTTCCAGTCGAGGAAACCGTACTTATGGATGGCTGCGAGCAGACGTTGGTCTTCATGCTTTGTCCACGTTTTGGATTTTTTGTTAGGATTCTCTCCTCCAACCTTTGAAGAAGATCCATACTGATTATAGTACGATGAAGAGTTTGATATTTCGGGAATATTCGTAAACATTACGATTTTGTCTATTGGATCGGATGTTCCAAGAAGACTTATACATTGTGCAGCAGCTTGATGATAAGTCAGATCATTAGTTATGAATTTGTAGAGTAAGTTCTGCATCTGTGTCATGAAGTTTCTAGGGACACCTGCGAGTAGCTGGCAATACATGTTGAGAGAGGAATCAAGCATAATAATGAAGTGAAAAGAGATATAGAAAAGATCGTAGATAAATTGAATTGATTTTTCCGGTTTGATTATAAAATGAGAGGATGATATTATAAACTTCAGAAGTAAATTGAAAGAAATTGAATGTAGTCTCACAAAAGCGCACCGCTTCGAAAAAATTGAATTGAAATTTGACGGTTTTATGGAACAAATAATTGAAGGACTAAGCAGGAAACAGAAATTCATGCCGAACAACAAAATGATTTTATTTTGAATTCATTAAAGGTACAATTTATATAAATATAACTTATGTTATGATTCCTTTTGATTTCAGGATGTAATACAGTTCAGATACTGTTATACTCAGCATGTCCAAGTCCTCTAATTCCTTTGGAAGGCATTTCCTTTCACTTTCTCTCTTTGTTTTGTAAAATCTTTCTTTTGCTTCATAAGTCATCCAAAGAGTTGTCTTACTGTCATAAGTGAACTCATCTGGCCTTGATTTAAGAAGTTTTCGGATCTTTTTCTCTAAAGTATTAACAGTGAAAGGCATTTCTTTCTTTTTGACATGTTTAATGATTGTATTCATGCATACTCCATAGTCACAGCTCTTAACAAAATCAATGATCTCTTTTTCGTATGAAACTGTGTCAAATGAAGGTTCATTTTCACTTGATGTAGGATTTTCAGTTGTTTGGCCTGTAGAACGTCCACATAAGCCTGATTCCGAATCAGAACTCTTTAGTATTTTCGGTTGATAAACATCTAAGTTTGGTTTCGAAAAATTAAAACGAGGATTAAATTTCCAACCATGTGAACGAGATTTGTCATGAATGAAGAGAGGAAAAGTACCATGCATCTCAGAAACTGCTCTCCTGAATGCAGTTCTTGGTGTTGCGTCTTTATCTTTAATTAAACTCATATTTCTTTGAAAGAAATATATTAAAGCAGTCTCTGTTGTACTACCTCCTCTAGATAACAGGCAATCTATTATTAATTGGCTTCCAATACTTAGTTTACTTGAGTCAATATTAGTAATTGTTAAATGCTGGCTTGCATACTTCCTAGGTATTGGTTGCGTAGTGGATGCGGGATCATATTCATAGTCTTGGTTAGTTTTTTCATTTTCTGAATATGATTCAGATTCAGCCATTATTTTTTTTACACAGTGAATTTTTTTTTGTCTGAAAAATTGAATTATGTCGATTGAAAAAAGGTCAGAGAAAATTATGGATATTTTAAGAACGCTATAATATGAAATTCGATAAAAATTTTTTATAAGAAATTTGCCAAACCAGAAAAAAATCGTTTTTCAATATGACTTTTCGAATAGCTTCAATTTCATTCAGAATTTACTTCCATTGATTAGCTATTGATAGATTTGATTTTAAAACTGAAAAATAATTCTTTTTCTTCAATTTCGGATGCATTTTTGTTTATTTGAACAATGAAAACATAATAACCTTTAAATACAACATTTGAAAGGATAAGTATCACAAAATATTTGCTCAATCTTGCGAATTAATCCTCAAATGACGAAACATCAGACCAAAAATCGATCACGAAATCATAACTTACAAAAATCATGGAAATGTGAATCAATATAACTATTAAAAGTACAAATTTCTTTTGTAAAATAAATATAACATTTATTAGTTTGAAAACAATTAGACAACAATAGAGAAATTACAGCTCCTTTTTACTCTCATCATTTGGCTTTTCTGGAATTGGACTTGGTTTTCTGATCGTTCCATCAGCGAAATAAGTGAGATCTGCTCTATCTGTTGTGCTGGTAATGTTTAACCATTCCTCAGAAACGCCCATAATTAATGGCTTGTCCTCTTTAATCGGGTGATTGATGATAATTTTCTCAGGAAGTGATAAAACTTGGGATTCAACATTAAATAATGCATCTTGCTGCATCTTTAATGTAGTATTTGCAAGATCTAACTTACCACGAACGGTCAAATTAGAATTCTTTTGAATTTCAATTCCCTTAAACAAACCAATTGCAGTACAGTTATTCTTAGATACAAGGAAGTTAATTGTTGAAGGTTGGCTGTGAATATCATAAACATACAATGAAACATTGTTGCAAACAAACTTTTTGAAGGGATCAGTTGCCAAAACACTGAACCAAAGGTTGCTACTGGGTGAGTTAACAAATATCTCATTACCCAAATACTTCTGTTCGCTGAAAGCATGGTCACATATGTATAATTCTCTCAAAATTCTCATTTCCGCCAAGGTTACAACACTTCTATAACCTTGAGGACATTTCATTCCATATTCTCTTGGATTGTAGCACACTTTATACGCAAATCTCTGAGAATTATCGTTTTTAATTTCGTTAAAAATCAATTTTGCAGATTTCTTCATGACATCTACAGATATCTCAAGCAATTTGTCCTCGTAATCACAATAGAATGTCTGGTTATCAATGACAGATACAAAATTTTCGATCTGACCAGTCATCACAGAAATTGAATAGTTTACAAAATTCGGAACTGTATTCAATTTGTAATAATCCTTTCTATTGTATTTGAAATAGACAATTTTTGGTGGCTTGAGGATATTATTGCTCACAATGATCTCAGAAGGCTTAACCAAATGCTCTTGAACAGTCAAAACAGAATCTGATTCAAAATCAATTGATTCCTTGAAGAAACAAGTTGTTCCAGAGAGAATATCCAAATTCCTGAGGAAAATATTCTTGATTTGGAAGACACCATCCTTAATTACGAGGTTATCAATGGTATTTACCTTACAGCCATCGATTTCAACGTTTTCGTTACCGTATATCTCAATGTTAACAGAATTAGTGAACCTAAAACCAAAAGAGAACTGCAGATTCGATACTTTCACGAAATCTTTGTCAGAAACTTCGACAAAAACAGTTTGGCTCTGGCCACTGACAATATAAAGCTTATCTATATACGTTTTGATGTTCTGTGGACTCATCTTCAAGTCATATGCGACAGAACCTGTAAAAATAATTTCAATGGAATTATCTGTTGTCACTTTTGGAAGTTGGCCGGCCAAACAATGAATTGTGAGAGTTCCTTTACCTTCTGCGTATAATCCGCCATCAATTTGGTTACTGTTGATAGTTATTTGATTATCGACGTGAATAAATCTTATGTCAAATTTGTTCTGAATTTCGTACTCTGTAATTTCTGAGAAAGAAATAATTTGAGAACATTTTGGACCTAAACAGTACTTTGGAGATTTGGTAACAAGGTAGTAGACCTTGTTGACAAGGCTAATTTCGAAATTGTAGTTGATTTTGCGCTTGTTATAAACTCCGCCGTTTCGAATAATATTAACTTCAGTTTCTTTCGGAATTAAGAGTCCAGAGCCATCTGCATATTGTACCAATGGTAAACTAGGAATAAAGGCTTGAGATCCTGGATCTTCAACGTAGTTTAAGTGGACAATTGGAAATTCAAATATATTTTCATCAGGAACACTCAAAAATGAGGGCTCATTGTAACTAAAATACATTGTTAATGCCAACATATTCTTTTTGACGTCCTTTGTGTCTGTAATTTCGATTGATGAGTTTTTCGCAATGGTTATTGACTCAATTGGAAGTTGAGTTGCAAATTTGACATACGCACCTGTTTGGGATTCAATGGAAATCGGTGTTTCTTTACGACGTAATTGTGATTTGACAGATAAAGTTAAATTATTCGCGCAATACAAAGCAAGTGCTTCTAATTCATGCTCCTTTTTGTCATTGAATACAAATGTATTCTTATTTTTTTGTGAAACTACTGTATCTTCGGTGATAATAACTTTTGTTGGTTTAATTTGAGATTTTGAAAGGCCAGATGTCTCATCATAGTCTTGTGGAAGTAATCCTGTAACAGTAATGTCAATTTTATCATTGATTGTAAAAATTGGAAAATTTGGCATGTTTGAATTTGAAGAAATAACTAAAGATTTATCAAATCCTTTTGAGAATATCGATACTTTTGGACCAAAGTGATTCAAATTTAGTTTAATACCTCTCTTTGTCTTATATAAATGTAATTCATCATAAAATGATGGAATTTGAATCTGTCCAATGTCGAAAAATTCAACTGCATCACCACCTTCGCATAAAGGTTTTTCATCACCTTCATATATGCAAAGTGAATATGAATAAGAAAAAGCTAATAAGAAAGAAATCATGAAAAATGAAGAGATGAACAATTAAAATCATTATATTCTGACCAAAAGTCTTCTAACATTCAGATTCAGCATACACATTGAAGAAATAATTTCATTTGATATTATTTTTCAAAAATGAATGCTTGATATCAGAGTTAACAGAAAAGTTTTGACTAGTATTTCTCATTTGAAAAGTAAAACGAATAGAAAACAATTTTTAAATTTAGATATCTTTTATTAAAAGCTTTAAAAGTTGAATTCCTATTTGTTAGATGAACAAAAACATATACAGAAAGATTTAATCTAAATTTAGCTAAAAAACAAAAAATAATCTTCAAACTGATTCAATTAAATCAGTTTTGACGCTATCATTAGTATCTTCTTCAACATCCTTGTTTGTTATCAAAAGGACATCAATATCATGATGAGAATCCTTGTGATGATTGAAAATACAGCAAAAAACAAAAGAAAGTAACAACAAAGTTCCACAAATAACTCCAACAATCTCCATAGTCTTCTTGAAGTAAGGATCTGTCTGTATCAAAGCAGGAATACTCGATTGATTTGGAGTTGTCTTTGCAGTAACAATATAATGGACCAAATCGTCTTCTTTTGGCATAGACTTGAAATCTGGCATCTTTGTGTCAATGTAAAATGTTACTTTTACCTTCAAAGTGAAAATTGAGAAATAATCCGCTTTTTTATTTTCAAAAATCGACGGATTGAAGTATATTGAACAGTTATTTGCTATTATTATGTCAACATTTATATCACGCGTTTCTGATTCAATGAATTTCAATTCATGTTCTGTTCCTTTAAGAATTAAAGATGTTTTATGTGTTCCGAACACTACAAAGTTATTTAAAACAACATCTCGTGTCGTGACTATGTAATTTATTCGATTTACGTAAATTTTGGAATTTAATAAAATTCCTTTAGAACTTGTGTTGAAAATATCAACAATTAATGGAGCAAACAATGACATTGACGATGTATTATCTAAAGTAAGATTTTCTGCGCTTGTTTGTTGATTAATATTTAATAAAATTCCAGAAGCAAAAATTGAGCCAAATGAACTGTTGTAATTGATATTTACCTCAGAGTCAGATGTGCTTTGCAGATAAACTGTTTTTCCACTGAAATTATTTCGATTGAAAATTATTTTTTTGGAGAAAACCAAAAAACTGTAACTATCTAATTCAGGAAGGTCATAGTTAATTAACTCATCTGGAGTTATTTGAATAACTGAATTAGGAACTTTATTTTTTGGTAATTTTTTGTCTAAAATGTAGAATTCGTTGTCAAATGGTATAAAAGTTGGTTTGTTCTTGATTTCGAAGGTCTTTTTAGAATAATTTTGGAATATATAAAGAGGATTTCCATGGATTTGAATTGTATTGTTGTATTTGGTATCAGTCCAGCCTTTAAATTGTATCACTGGCGATTTCTCGCAATAAAATCGTGGAAAATGAAATGGAATTTGATTATTTTTGAGTTTTGAAGAGAAAAGAAGGAAAATGCTATTAGTATTTATATTTATTTCCTTATACCTTTTAGTTATGTTCATAGATCCAACTTCTAAACTTGAATTCGTGAAAATAAATTTTTGATATTTTCCTTTTAGATTCAAAATTGTATGTCCGCACGTCATGATAATGTTTTCAAATCGTGGCATATCACCAAAAACGTTGACTTCTTCGATCACAGTCAAATTTGTCATTTTTATTATTTCAGAATTTTGCAATGTGAGTGTATTTATCGTTGATGCATTAGTGCTATTGAAAAACAAAGTCGAATCCGTTAAATTGAAACTGCAATTTATGAAATTTGCGTTAATATTAACTTGATTTTCTTTTGATAATGAAATTATCTCAAAACTTGTATTGTATGTTGTCTCATTATCAAATAAATCAATCGAGGAGTTTTTGTTTGGTATGAAATATAGAGTATAGTTTGAATTTGACTCGAAACTCAAATTTATCTGAGAATTTGTGCTATTAATGTGTATTGTTTGGATAGGACAAGAAGATGCAATTTCTTCTTCCATATAAAAGCAATACCGATTTGTTGCTAGTAAAATAAAGTCAAGAAACATTTTTTTTATTTGTGGAAAATTATGACAAATTTTATATTTGTAAACCAGTTTTGTCAAAACTCATTTTAGCGATCATTTTTTGAATTAATTCATACAATTTATTCAATGTGTTATAATCAAAATGAGTAATTGATCATTAACATGCTATGTTGTTGATGCTTTTACAAATACTGTATTTAAAGGCAACCCAGCTGCAGTCTGCGTAATGGATAAGTGGCTTGATGATCAAATTATGCAAAGCATTGCTATTGAAAATAATTTATCCGAAACAGCGTTTACAGTTCGTGAAGGAGATCATTACAGGCTTCGCTGGTTCACTCCTGGTGGCGAAATTGATCTCTGTGGCCACGCTACTCTTGCTACTTCTTATGTAATTTTTAGATTTTACGAAAAGACAATTTCAGAAGTCACATTCCATACCAAAGGTGGAATTCTTACAGTGAAGAAACAGGGTAATCTTCTACAAATGAATTTCCCTGCTTATAAATTACAAAAAGTTGAAGTCACCAAGGAAATGGAAGATGCAATTGGCCACAAGCCTCTTGAAGCATACATTTCACGTGACCTTGTTTGCGTTCTTGAAAATGAAGAGCAAGTCAAAAATTCACACCCAGATTCCCAGAAAATGATGAAATTAGACGGACTTCTCCTTCACATTACATCCAAGGGACACTCAGACATTGACTGCGTCACAAGAAGTTTCGCTCCAAAGCTAAAAGTTTACGAAGATCCAGTCTGCGGATCCGGCCATTGCCACGTCATTCCTTATTGGTCAGAGAAGCTCGGAAAGAACCAATTAAAAGCATTTCAGGCCTCTCCAAGGACAGGAACCCTTTACTGCGAAATAGACGGAGAAAGAGTAAATATGTCTGGTGAAGCTGTTCTATACTCAATAAATGTTATTAACTTTGCATAAAAATACTATGTATTGGGTTTTAATTTTTTTACAATTTTTATTTGAAATTTCAAATAATGGTTTCGCTTCCAAACAAAATAATTTCGCATATTTATGGTTTGATTCCATATTAATTTGAAATGTCTTCAATATTATTTTAATATGATGTGAATTACATTGATTGGTGTTTTGAAATCTGATTAAAAATCTATACATTAATATATTCTTTCTTCCTCTAATAATATTCACTATGATTGAATGAAATTTCAAATTAAAGTAGTAGGATATGACGGGTTTAGTGACTTTTTTTGTTACATCTATATATAGACGATGCATTAAAATATATTTATTTATAAATCATTAAAAAATTAACATTAATTTTAAAATAATTTATTTTTTTTATCTTTTATAAAAGAAGCTATATATAGATGATGTCAGATATTCCGCGATTAATTAAACATTGTTTAAATCCTGAATGGGTTAAACTTCAATTTAAAAATGAAGATTGTGAATTATTAAATGAATATGAAAGCCAAAATAAGCTAATGAGGTATAAATATAATGATAAAGAATATTTAATTTCATGGAATTAATGGAGTCATAATCAAAGACCTCATAAACGAGAAGAAGAAATTGAAAATAATGAAATGGAAATCATTGATGACATTAAAGAGGATGGAATTCCTAAATTTTGTAGAAAAACCTTTAGAACTAAGTTAGGAGCATATAAACGTAGAGTATTAAATCCTGAATATCTTAAACATCAATTTAAAAAGGAAGACTGTGAATTATTAAACGCTAATGAATATGAAAATGCTAAATCAAAACTGAGATATAAATATATTGGAAGTGATGAAAGGTGTAAAGATAAAGATAAAGTTTATTCAGTTTCATATAATAACTGGCACACGTTAGGGATAAGAAAACATTTAGGAGATTATGGGAAATGTTCTGAATTCTTTAAATCTAGTATATACGAGAGAGTAAAAGAAATTAGAAATAATTATTTTCATGAATAAAAGATTCACTACCATAATGAAATAAAAAATAAAAAAAAATTTTAAAAAATAAACTTCTTACGAAAAATTAAAACTTAGTTATGTTTATTATTTTATTTTTTTATTTTGTATGAAATGAGCGTCAAAACTAACATCGTTAAAAAATTAGGATTCACAAACGAGGAAATAAAGGATATATTAGAGGAGGTGGGTTATGAAGTTAATAAATATTATTTAAGAAATTATCAAAAATTTGCCGAGTTATTAAATGATTTAGATTATGATGGAAAAATGAATAAAGATGATGTTATAAATTTCTTATATCCCACATCTGAAGAAGAAAAACCTAAAGAACCTGATGTTTTCCCTGAATATTATGAAGAACGGATTAAAGATGATGAATACAATGAAATTGAAAGACTGAAAAAAATAAGAGATGAAATAGATGAAAGAATTAAGGAATTAAGAGAAGTTGAAAAATATAATGAAAATGAAGTAGATGGTTTAATGAATATCCCAGCTTCAGAATCAGAAGTTCAGAAATCTCATGAAGAAAGATATAAAAATTATGTCTCAGAATCAACACAAAATTTATTAGATGGTGAAATAGACGAAACACTTTCAGAAGAAGGTACTAAATTTATTCGTAAACATAAGTTACAATTTATTGATAATGAAGAATACCCTTGTATCTTATTTTCACCCCCTCTCGATTCTGAGAAATTCAAAAAAGCTCTTAAAAACGTGACATATGCAACTAATACGATTAAGAAAGAAGATCATGATATTTACACAAATTATTATTTAAATAAATGCACAGGTGTTGATAAAGTTTTTGATTTATTAGATAAAATATCAAAAGAAACCATTGGAACATATAAAATTTTATGTGATTGCGGTTTCATTGTTGAAGATACTAATAATGTTTCATATGAAAGAACAGCACCGAAGGAAGACGAAGTTGAAAGGTCTATACCATTCGTTATTAAGAATATAAAAGATATGAAAACGTATAAGCATTATATTTATTCATTTATTTCAGAAAAAATGGAAGCAACCCATAAAACATCTTCTCATCATTTTATAGCTATTCATACATTCCTTTTCAAAGTTGTGAAATTAAATAAGACAGGAATTAGATTTAATGTATCAGGGTACGCATTCTTGAGTAAATTAAAATGTATTCGTCACGTCGCAGATGATAAAAATTTATGTGTTCTTAATTCATTTTATGGGCTTTAAAAAATAAACTTTATTTTTATTTATTTTTTAATTTTTTATTCGTACATAAATGAACAAAAACGGAACAGCTAAAATGAATGATAATCAAATTAGAGCAGAAGGTAGAAGGTTATTTAAACGCTTCTATAACATTCCTGATGGTGTTAATCCTAAAACTCGTAGAAGCTATTTAAATGAAGCAATAGATGCCTATGAAGGATTTGACATTTCATCAGAAAGTGAGAGATTAGCGAGAATGTTAAATGTTAATATTGATTTCTATTATTGTGATCCTCAACCAGAAGACGTGGACATAAATAAGGTAGACTTTCCATTAGTGGAATCAATAATGATAGATCCAGAATTTGAAACAGTAAATATTTATTAACACAGAGTCCATGTGGAAAACTTCACGCTGACAGAATAACAGACGTTGAAGCACTCACCGGCTATAAAGTTTGTCCATATTGTAAAGAAGAAGTTTATTCTATCCGTGATGATCCAGAAAGGAAAAACCAAAGAAGATTTTTAAAGCATTGTGAGAAATGTAAAGAAAATAATGGGAGATTAATTCAAGACGTTCAGTTGCAAAAGACACAGCAACCATATGCACCACATATTACGAAACAGAAGATATATCAGTGGTTATTAGCTCATAATTTGCAGGAATATTATAAACCGACAAGATATTATATTACTTTTGACTTTGAAACATTAGAGACTAAAGAAGAATTACAACTTTCTGAGTGTGCAACTTTGAACGCTTACTTAAAACCATTCATGGTATCATCAACGGTTAAATTAAATGATAAAACGTATACGAGGAATTTTAGTTAGTATGGTTAACTTGGGTACGGCGACACTGCGTTCCACCTTACCCAACATAACCTTAAATATTTACAAAACCATCTGACACATAAATGACTTCACTAATGACTTCACTAACGACTTCACTAACATTTTCGCTAACGACTTCACTAATGAAAAATAAACGTTCTCACTAACGTTCCCACTAATGTTCTCATTTACAAAAGTATTGCAGCGCTTCCCATTGCTGTGCTTCACACAATAGTTCATATTCTTCAGTATCGCTGCTGTCACTCCAATCGTCAGAGTCAAAGTCACTGTCAAAATAAATGTTAGTAAGTTTTGACAAAGCTAATGAAACACGCTTACCGTTTGTATCTATTGCTTTTATATATCTCCCATTATGTTTGTTGTCATAAACGCTCAAACTAACTTTACCCTTTCTCCCTCGTATCTGATAGAATGTATTTTCACGAGGAACGAAGAACAAATTCTTGAACTCATGACCGTTGTAGTTTGTTATCTCAATAGTTTTCGTCATTTATATAAAAATAAAATAAAAAATAAACTTAAAAATTAATGATATCACCACCCTCACACGTATGAAAACATAGCACAAAAATAAATTTAGGTGAAGTGGTGAGATCTCACCTCTTTTTTCACCTGTTTTTTTCACCCTGTTGAATTCATTGCTTTATAACTCTCTTCCTTGGTTTCTTTTTAGTTGCTTTCTTCACGTCTGTCTCCAACTTGACTGTCTTTCTTCTTCGTCCGTAATGATACCAGTTACTTCCACCAGTCAATGGGTCAAATGGTCTTTCGTAAGGGTTTCCATACATTCCATAGGGACCATACGGAAGAACTACTGGTGGAGAAGAAACATTTTCTTTAGTTCCATCGACTCTATTTAAATGCATTGTTTCACCTTTCATCTGGTCATTAAAGTCTTTTGCGTGTTTTGCAAACTCATCGTCCTTTCCTAAAGCATTTTCTGACTCAGTCGCAACCAAATTGGATGCTTTATTTATGAGCCCTATTTTATTTAATCTTAACTTCTTTGCAACCCAGCCTCCAATCTTCCCTTTATTTGCATCTAATGTCTTTGAAACCCTTCCTCCACTCATTTTATTTACTGCGTCATAAGCTCCAAGTGCTTTTGCTCCAAATGCTAATGCTTTTGTTCCCATTGCGCCTAAAGCTGCCCAAGCTACCATTTACACCATATTAAAATCATCTCTCTTCAATATTATCTCATAAAAGTTCTCGTTACTGGAGAAAGTCAATGAAACATAAGCGTTCTCACGGGCTTCGCCCTCACCGCTTTGCGGTCTATCTAACTTCTTTCTTATATCATCTATACGCTTCAAAATGTCTGAACAATTGCTAACATCTTCTACAACAGTTATTTCATCATGAATGACCTTCAAGAACAAGCTCATTTAATATGCTATTAAAATCATCTCAATAATGAGTCCATCCTTTCCATCTTTAGGTAGCACAACATCTTTCATTGAAGAAGGTTCGACAAGTCTTATGTTAAACTTACTGACAAAGTTTGTTATACTATAATGCTTCGGCGGCGAATACATGTAGTTTGAAAGACATAATATAGATTCTTCAGCAAATTCACTTATACTGGATTTTATAACAATGTTCTCACGAGACCAAATACCACCAATTGACAATCTTGTAAGCAATCCTGCTGAACCTTCTACTGTAAACGTCGATGGTAACATTCCACGAAGGTCATCTATTGACATCGTTGAGTCACTGTATTTAAATATTTTCTTAAAGCAATCGTCATTATCTAACCATGCAATAGCTTTGAAGTTTTCATTCGAATATACATCTGCTTCATTAAATGTAAAACCTGACTTCTTTGCAGAGAGACTTTAAAATCTATTGAGTTTGTTTCAAAATTATATGCTATGGTAACTTCTGAAGGTAATGGATGCCCTTCCGCAGTCAGTTGTTCTCTCACTACCGTTTGAAGCT